AAATTCAGAGATGACAAATTCATGTATATATGGGAACTTAATATACAATAAAGAACCACAAATCAGTCCACTCAAAAGATGGGTTATTAGTAAGTATATCATATTAGTAAAACTGGTTCACTCTAGAAATAAAAATGAAACTGTATCCCTACTCAATACCACATACAAAATAGACTGAATAGAAAAGATAAATCTAGAAAGCAATTAGAGGAAAACTTCTTAAGACTCCCAAAGCTCAAACATTAATTGCTAATCCTATCGGAACCGGATAGAAAAGTCCACAAACCAGACGATCAGGTAACAGGAAAAGGAAGCTCAAAAGGCTAACAAGCATAYGGAGAGATGTTTAAACTCAAGCTCATCATTATTTACAGAAATTGATTAGAACAAAGCTACATCAGTTACACATAGGAGACTGTCAACAACGACACAGCTGGACCACGTCAAGTCATCAGGAATGACCAAGGCCATGAGCCACAGGAGCCCGGCCCCACTGAGCCSGAGAGCAATGCTTAGTTATGCGAAGGCAAACTCACTCCCTGGCCCAGCCATGGCTCTCCTGAGGTGTAACCCAGAGGCGTGGCCTCACTGATCCACAAGCAGACACACAGGAGGCGTTTACCACAGCCACACTCGGGTGGTGGAAGGTTGGAGAGGGCCGGATGGACCTCTTTGGGAGAGTGGAATCGGTAAAATTTGATAGGTACTTATCATGCAGTATTTGCAACTGCTGGAAGCAAAAATATTTGTCTAACAACATGGATGGTCTAGAAAAAGTGCTGAGTAAAATATATATATGAGAATAGAGACTGACTTGTGTGATCCAGGCCCATTTAAATGTGTTTAAATTAGACTCAAAACCATTTTACTGGTACACATTTTTCAGAAATGCACCCAAACACATTAGAATGGTGGGAAACAATGAGTGAACCCAGAGAGGGGCTGGCGTTGGGGATACACAGCAAGCTGGGCAGTGCAGTCAGTGCAAACCTCTGACTGACATCTATTCATTTGCACGTGGTGTGTTGTGTGACCACCTTCCTTCTCCACAGCCAGGTCTCAAAGAAAGGAGAAGGGGGACCTGTCATTTTCGGGGTTTGCTTGTCTTGGTGAAGAACTCAAGCTGTTTTTACATAGTGCCACCCAGGGAACCCTATTAGCTCTCTCCTTTGGTGAGGGGATACTCGGGGTACACAAGGTAGACATGGGGGGGACTGGTGTCAGGCTTTCCCATCCAACTGAAATCTGTGGTAAGCGTGTGAGTTTCCAAGACCCACCATCTGTTGTTCCAGAGCCTACAATTTGGTAATCTTCATTAATTTTCTCAATCTCAAAAACTGAAGCTAGTGTTTAGAGAGGACGGGTTTTCCAGCCCACAGAGCCGCTCGGCCTGGAGGTGGGACAGCCAGGACTGGAGCARAGGTAAGGAGAGAAAATTTCTTCTTACCTGTCTCTGGGCACCTCTGCCAATGATTGTCTTCGCTTAACCTCAAGGTCAAGGCAACCTATTTTACAGTGTTCMTTGTCTCCGAGGATGAGCTTTAGCGAGAGACTTGTTTGCTTTTTATRGTATTAAAAGAGACAGTGAAACCTGYYYCTCAGAAGATCATTGTACCAAGTCCCCGTGGCCCCGAGGGGAATATTTGTTTCCTCATTTATATTCATGTCTCCAAAAGACAAGCAGACCTTGGATGAAATTTCAGGCGACAATAAATTATAAATAATGTATCCATATTTTTTTCTCTTCCCTCTACTTGTATTTAATTCCCCCCAGAGTCCTGTGCAAACACCAGCGACAAGAGGACAGGAAGCTATTAACAGGATGGAAAGAATGAAACAGGCTTATGTTCTGTGGCGTCAACACAGCGGGGAAAACACCTTGATCAAAGGTGCTTGAGGTTTTGAGACCAGCTCTTCTCCCTCTTTTCTATTTTTATTATTGTTTTKGGGGATATCAACTCTTTTCCAGGTCATCTCGGACAGGCCTATTTTGAACTCATCTCTTATCTTGGTCCACCTGGGACAAGGCGAGGAATTGTTCAGTGGATTGAGGCCAGTCTCCATCAGAGAAGGCCTAGAAAGCACGCAGGATGGTGAGTGGGATCTGCCCACCTTCAGRACACGATGCATTTAAGAGGGAAACTCCCTACTGACAGTGAAGTCAGACGGCATRCTAACTGCTCAAAAGCAACCAGCCTCTACATCCCTCGGCCCTGGTTGCCTTCACGCAGGCTCCCCCGTCCCACAGACTTGCTGGGCAGGAGTAGCTCACGCTCTTGGGGTCCAGGCTGGCAGGGTTCCAATCTTGCATGTAAGTGAAGAGACTTTGCTTTTCGGATTTGCTTCTTTCTCTTTTTGGTACCATATTCACCCTGCCCTTAGGAAGCAGAGARCCTTGTATTCTCTTCCTCCTTAATRAAACTTGCTCTTGGCAGGGGCAGAAAAGGGGAGCAGAAGGGACTGGCACAGGCAAAGAGCCTTCATTAATATTAACATGCAAGTGACAATGTAGCCCAGTGTTATTTATTTAGGGAAATTTGCATTTCAGTGGTAGACAGAGCTCAAAATGAGGACTTTGGGCACTGGACTCTGCAGGCTGCCCCTCTCTACCTGTGCCAACCCTGTGGAGGGTACTAGTCTTTTCCTCGTCCTTTTAGCTCTGTTTCACCAGAGACCTCCTCTTTGGTGCTTTGCAGCTAGGATTTAATTTAGTCAACATCTATTAGGTCTGTCACACTGTAGGCTTTATGAAGGTCATTTCTAATGCATGATTTCTGCCYAAGCGTTTTCCATTCTGCAACCAGTTGTTTCAGTGGGTTCTGATAAATTTCCAAGACAAAGCCAGCAAGGTTGGTACTCATCAGCTTCTAACATTTAAATTTAAGCTGTCTTGTAAAACAGCAAAAACTGCCAAACATGGATACTGCTTTCCTAGGTACCGTGGTGGTAGTGCCAAGTTCCCCAACTGTACATGGAGCAAGCAGCTCAGTTAGTAACTACCCTCACTGCATCGGGAAATTGGACTYTTTAGTTTTCTCCTYTCTATGTTGATGTTGATCATGCCCYGGGAGCCCAGTGTCAGCTGAAGTCTTGCAAACACACGTAGACACACCCACCTCTACCCACCCACCCACCTACGCACTCACATACACACCTAAATATATCTTGTCAGTCCCCTGCACTGTCTACTAAATAAAGTCATCCTCTCTTCACATCTCCCTGTGAGTTGTGAACCCCYGGCTCACCTGATCCTGCTGAGCCCYTAGYTGGATCGGGAACACCACACCCAAACTATTGCACATCCCTTAGTGCATTGTGTCTAAGAGAGGCCAGCGATGGGCACATGAGCTGGTGTACTTCTACAGCCCAGGAKGGGAGGGTCGGCAGTGAGGCAGAGCTGCAGGACTCCACAGAGGMTCCAGGCATAGAGTCAACTGCTCACCAGAGCTAGCTGTAGCCTCCCAGGACGGGAATGAAAGGCACATCCCACAATGAGCAAATGTTGAAGCCCATGCATTTGGGGAATAAAATGATTAGTTTAACCTCATAAATATGCAAATTGGGAGCTCCGTTTAAGTGTCTGTCATCTGTGTTCTTTTAATGGGAAAGAAATTCTTAATTCAGTGGAAAGCTCCATCCCATGGATCTTTAAGTGGTAGCTTGGGGAAGCAGACCACGGAGGACCTTTAATTAACCTGTGAGTGTGCAAGGAGGGGCTCCAACAAGAAGAGGCAGCACCCTCGTTTCCAGCTAAGACACCTCTGAAACAGCGTAATTGATTTTAGTCCCTGAACAGAGATCAAGTGTCATCTAAGTTCCACTTGGTAAAGACTCGTCTTGGATTCATGTCTTGGTTGTATGATCATAGTTTATGTTTATTTTTAATTAAAACATTTGTTTTTCTGATTAATGTGCTCACTGAAGACACTTTGTAAAGTATTGAACCGTACGAAAAAGAAGGGCAAAGAGGACTCATTCATGACCTCACTCCCAAAGGACCACGGGTGGAGGTGGCACGTTCCCACAGTGTCCTGCGTTGTCCTTCAGAATGGGTGTATCSAGGGAAATGCATCGGAGGGGAGTTCCTGTCCCCTCTCTGGGGATGGAGGGACAGATTCTCGGACAGGGACAGGGATCCAGCCACACTGGTACTTCAGGAAGGCAGGCAGCCAGGCGACTAGGGGTAAAAAGCCCACATTTGCCCCAYACCACATCCCCAGATGGGGTAGGGAGAGAATTCAGCCCGGGCTGGGCAGTCCCACRTTGCCAACTGGAGAGGTGTCATAGGAGATCACAGAAAGGATTATTTATCCACAGCCCATGCCACATTGGAGGGTGTGAGGATTAACTGGGATCACACACGGGATGCAGTAAGACAGGCAGAGATGAGTGCTCAAGGGAGATGTCAGGTGTTTCCTCTTACAGATACAAGTATCTTCTGCTGACTGAAGTGAGGGCAGGCAGGAGGGACAGAGGGATGTAGAAGACCTGGGTCTAGGTTTGGCCCTGCCACTCACAAGCCACGTAGGTCTTTCATTTTCTATGTACCACACTTCATTGTGGGTGAAATGAGGATAGAAAGACCTTCCTTGCCAGTCGTTTTAAGGACTGAGTTGAGTTTTGGATGCAAAACCACTTTGCTGGTGGAAAGGGGCTGTAGATTGAATATTGAGGATTTACCACTGTTCCTGACACTAGGTATAGACCAGGGAGGAAGGAGAGAAGTAGGAAAAGTTTTCTGGAAAAAAACATGCAGAAAATTGGAACTCAAAGGAACTTTTATGGGGTGCATTAGTTGGTCCARGTGGACCAGGGATTTGGGTGTCCTGTGACTACCCTGTAGTGGGGTGCTTCCTAGCAGAGCCTTGGGAAGGTGGGAGGAAGGAGGAGGCAGCTGAATTTCTGTGTCAGGCTCCTCCCAGGGCAAGTCTCAACAGAGGCTTCTAAGGAGCCAAAGTCACCCAGGGGAGAAGCGATCAAAGTGGCCGTGACTTCCTCACCTGTRGTGAAGGCAGTGGAGGTGATGCTGCTCCTGGTGGCATCCTGGGCCGCCTGCAGGAACACTGTGTAGTCAGTGTTCTCCGACAGCCCCTCCAGCCGGATCCAGGTGTCCTCTGCATCCACGATCAGCTCCTACACAAAGCCAGAGGGGGAGGTGGAAGGGAGAGACTGGCTTGCACGGTGGGACGTGGGAAAGGGAAGTCCAAAGCCACTGTAGTGGCTACTGCTGCCCCCTCCATCCCACAGAAGGAAAAAAAAAAAAATGTGCCAGTAAGCAGAGACCAGCTCTCGTGTGAGATTTAGGTCAGCTCCTATCTCAGAAATGCACATTGGGATAAATTTAGGAACCTGGATTATTGAACCCAGTGGCCTGAGATTGCACTGAACTTGCTCAGGAGCAGAAGCGGGTAAGCAAACAGGACCCTAGGCCGCCCTGCTCCCATCAAATAGGCTAGCTCTGCTGCAGTCTATCCTGTATATTTGTCCCCTGCGTATGATTTAACTTTTTAAAAGAATCCCACTGAGAACAAGAATTTCAAAACCAGTGCTCTAGTGGATAATTTTGACTGATGACCTAAGACAAAGATTCGTCATTTTTTTTATGGTGGGTTTTGTCGATGTTGCCTTTCTAATGCTTACAAGACATAAAAGCCTGTTGAACCTGGGATCCAGCCCCYGTTTGCTTGCCCCTGAAGCCAACAGTTATTTCAACGCTAAGTAGTTGGAAGTTTCCAAAGTATGGGTCCCCATACAGGAAGCTCAACCAGACCTGGTGAAGTTGCAGAGTGGCTTCTCTGGAGAAGACTGGGAGGCTGGGAGAGGGCTGGGGTGTTGCCCAGCTTGTGTGGTGAGCAGCAGAGCCAGGACCACACCCGGGCCACCTGGCTGAGCACTCTCGCAGCAGGCTTTGTCCCCAGCACGGGAAACCTGGCAGCTTCCTGTTAATTGCTTCCTGCCCTCCCTCTCATTCCACTGGCCAGTTTCCATGCAGCCTTGCTTAGGAGAAGCAAATTCTTACCTTGCGGCTTCCATCCGTGGATCTATACGTTAGGACATACTTCTCGATCTCCGCCCTGGGGGGCTGCCAGGAGATCAGTGCGCTCTGTCTGGTGACTTCACCGGCAGWCAGGTTTGCGGGAGGGTCCAGGACTGCAAAGAAGGGAAATGCCAGGGGATGCCTGTCTCTCCAGCTCCTCCCTGCTTGAATTCAGGCACGAAATCTCCTTGCCCACCCCTGTGGGCTGCTCCCATGCTGCCCTCAGCTCTGGCGTGGACAGGAGCATAAAGGGTCCTTCTGRGTCAGAAGATAATCGTTTAGTGCTGTGATCTCTCTTGCAGCTACTCCCTGTTCTGCTCACGTAGGCCTCTGGGCCTGGGAGTGACATCTTCCCATCTGAACCTCTAAGCCTGTGACCGTGATCCTTTCCAACTACCATGTGAGTTTGCTGAGAGCCATTGCCAAGTAGGAATGACGCATCGAAATTTCCTTGCCAGCGTACCCCATGTTGCTTAGAGAAAGGACTTGCCTTGGACATTCACTGTGACATTGCATGTATGTTTGAGAAAGGTGACCCTGCTCAAGGACCAGGGTGGATCCGGGTTTAGGGAGGATCCTACTGGATTAGGGCGGATCCAGGTTTAGGGTGTATCCTGCAGGTTTTAGGGAGTATCCCGCTCCTTGGGTTTAGGGCATTCCCCGTTTAGGACAATCTGGGTTTAGGGCGGTTCCAGGTTTAAGGTTATTCCTGCTGGGAATAGGGCGTATCCTGCTGCCTGAGTTCCCRTTGAGTTCTTGTGGGATTCAGAAAGTATTTGGGATTCAAAGCCTGGTGGAGTACGTGAATTTGGTGGCAGAACTTGGATTTCCTGAGAACGTGTTTGTAGAGGGCTGGTGTGAGTTCGGGAATAAAGAATTGCTGTTTGAATCTACAAGGTGTGTGGTGGCTCATGATTCTGTGCCCAGCCAGACTGCAGCATGAGTTTATGTTGGAACTTACAATATTCTCACCTTTTACCTTGGTCTACTGTTCTCTTGGTTATGATCCTTCTTAGTAGCTGTCTCCCTCATAGGTAGGTCCTGGGGATTGAACCCAGGGAGGGMCTCACACATGTTAGACAAGCACTCAACCACTGAGCTATATCCCAGCTCTTTTAAATTTTATTTTGAGACAGGATTTCATTAAGTTGCTGAGGTTGGCCTCAAACTTGTGATCCTCCTGTCTCATCCTTCCAGTAGCTGGGTCATAGCAGTGTATATTTTTAATATCTGTTGGACTGCTCTGGGTTAGATGCATTTCCAGTGTCTACTTCTCTTGGACTAGTTTTACTGCTATTACACAGACCCAGGATGGGAGCAGGAAACTAGACATGTGTGTTGACCAAGAGATGTRGCACACTTTCATTGGATTCGGACCACACAGTCAGCCAAAATAACAGCTCAGAGGTGCACTGCCCAAAGCCTATAGACTGAAATTGAGCCCACCATCAGGAAATGGGTCACTTCTAGGATCTAGAGTCCAGGTGTGGAGATGACCATGTACTCACGGGTAGAAAAGTTGGTGCTGATGGTGCTGCTGGTGAGAGGTCCACTGGTGGCATACATGGTGACGGTGTAGTGGGTGCTCGGAAGCAGGTCGATGAGCTGGAATTCCTCACTGACTCCATCAACCAAGATGGTCTCTCCAGCAACTGAAATCAGAAGAATGTGGCTGAGGACCSAGTAGGACTACTCAATTTATGAAAGACCTACCAAATCTAAATGCTTCACAAGAATTCAGTACTACAGAATTCTGGGAAAACTCCTTTATAAGTTATCAAGCTTGGTATCCTGGTCTTAAAAAGGATCCKCTCTCACATCCTATTATATCCTGAGAAAAATATTCCTTATAGTTCATGATTTCAAGGTGGCAGCCAGCACTTCCAATAGGAACTCTCCACCCCACATCCAAAGGAAGGAAGAAGGGTGGGATTTTCCCAGCAAACAACAAACAAAAACCCAACATAAACAAACAAACAAGAAACCTCATATGGAGGGCAAATTCTGTCTGTCTTCTGCCTAGTTCTCTGGAAACACAAAGAATAATGAATMCTTGGTCTGTGTGACATTTTCACAATCAAGTGCTGTCTCCTTCAGATTAACAAAACTCAGCCTCCACCTCCCATCACATTCATGTGACAGTTCTAAAATCTTAACAGTCCTGAATGCTTTTCTCTGAACAAGTCAAAGTTTAGCAGTGTCCCTGCTGAATGCAAAGCTTAGAAGAGAATTGAGAATAATTAAAATTCACTGACCAAACAGGGCCAGTCTCTGTCTCCATTTCTGCTATTCATATTAATTTAGGGGTTTTAGGACAGCCATGTGCTATCATCCCATGCTGAGCCTATTGCCAATGAAAGGCCTTGTGTATCACCACCCCACCCGCCCTGGCCTACTTGCTCTTTGGGCCCAGGGACAGAGTTTTGCATTTACTGTTGCTGTTTGAGTTTTGGACCACCTTTATGTTGATTAAAATATATTTGAATTTGGATTYGATCAATCACAGTTTTGTTTTATACACAAATTTAATCAGCTTGTCCTCTCTGAGTTCATTCAAGCTGTTGATAAAACTGTTCATTAGATCTGGGCCAAGCCCTCCATTAGGCAATTAGAATATTATCAAATCATTCAGCATTTAACCAAGTTTATTAGGCGCATCTCCCAACTAGGTAGGGCCGGATGTTTTAAGTTTATTGTGGTCTAAAGGCACAGAAAGGCACACAGACAAGTTTAAAAAATTGGAAGAAATACATAATGACTATCTTTTTAGTATCTCCCCCTCAACATCCCACCCCCAACCACTGTTCCAATCACACCAGACTATGGTGCTTCCTCAGACTCCTTCACCTCTCCCACACCTCTGCAAATGCAGACAGGCTGCTCTTTTTCTTGGAATTCCTTTCTTCTTCTCTTCACCTTCTTTTGCTTTCTGTGAGGCCTTCCTCCTCTCTTCCCTTTAGCACCCATCAGATGGGACCCACCACGTTCCGTGCTTGCCGCTACCATCCCGCTGCTCACGGGAGGCCGTGACTTTTCCTTCTCGGCACCATCACTAGATGCGAGTTCCATGAAAACAAGAACTCATGCCATGGTCCTGAATCTTTCCAGCCGAGATGAGCATGTGGCCCATGAGGGTGTATCACAAGCGTTTGTTGAATGAATAGAAACGAATGGCTCTGATGGAGATGCGTGCTGTGTGTTTAGGGACAGGTGTATCTGACTGCCTGTGGCAACCAAAGAATCTTTGACCGGACAGTGTTGAAACGAAGACTTGAAGGATGGGTTTTCTAGGCAGAACTGTGGAGAGAGGATTTCTTGGAGGGGAAAAAAACAGAGCATGGGGGCTCTAGAAAGCATGACAAGAGTTAGGAAATGCCAGATCAGGACACGGAGGGCCTGCGGGTGTCCAGATGGACACAGAGGGGTCGGCTAGGACTCAGCCACAGCAGCAAAATCCATTCTTGGGCAGGGTCCTTTCACTCCAAATACGATGCATCGTGCATTTTTCCATTTTAATGAAGAACTAAGTGATAGGCAGAGCCGTCCAATGCCTTGCTGAAATCCAAATGTGCTGGCGGACTTGCCAGTAAAAAGCAAGGGTRTAAAATGCCTTTGTCAAAACTCATTCTTGGTGAACCTGTGTTGGTATGCARTAATCACGAATTCCCTTCCCATTCTGTTTAAGAGTCTGTTTTAGTTTTTACTTTTCCAAACTTGACAATAAGTTTAGTTCTTTACAGTTTACAGAACTGGYGTTCTCTGCCATTTTTGAAAATCAAGGCATCTGCCTGCCTTCTGTTTTCTGGTATCTTCGTTCACTAGATTCCTGAATATAACCCATAACAATTCTGAGATCACATGTTTAATTCAGGCAGGGGAAACGATTTTCCCAAGGCAGAAGACTTGAAGTACACAATTTTGCTTTGGGTTTCTCTATTCAAYGTCAAAAAATTTAAGATGAACCAGCATGATGAAGGGGACATTTAAATTTAAGGTTTCACGTTGGTTCAAACTTGTGAGGTGGACATGGGGCGAGAAGACCACACCAGCAGGAAAGCTTAGCAGTTCTGAATCTTCTGTCACCTGTTATCACTTATTATCTGCTCCAGGCTTGGTCCTATAATTTCAGTGTTTTTCTTGCTCTGTAAATATCTAGAAAAGTCTGTTTTCTTGTCTCTAGAGCTTTGGGGCAAATTTGTCTCAGTTCTGAGCTGTTTTCCCCGTGTTCTTTCTCGGTTTGTACATTTGCCCTGCCTGCACCTTTCAGATTCAGCTTTCGCAAGTCCCTACAGTTGGCGGTTGGCAGCGTTTGGGGCTAACCTGAGGTCTTTATGGTATAACTGAAGCGGTCCATTTTCCAATTTGCCCCTCAGACTCACCAAATGCTTTGCTTCCTCCCTTCCATCCTGGTCTTCAGCCCCAGCCCTGACCACCCCTGCCTGAGGCCTGAGCCCGTAGACCCTTACCTGAGAAGTGTGTGAGGACAATGACATAGTTCTCCACGTCACCGGCTGGAGCCTTCCACTGCAGCAGGGCTTCCGTGGGGGTGATGTTGGTAGCGATCAGATCCACAGGGTTATCCATGGCTGGAACGGAACAGGAGCGGTCAGTACAGGTAAGAAAGCTGCAGGATGAAGTTCAACCCAGCCCAGAAGTTCCGCCKGCCCCTGACGCAGTCTGCTGCTGTGTTGAGCCAGGGTGAAGTGAGCAGAGCCCTCTTTCCCTTCTCCCTTCTGCCTCCAACAGCTCCTTCTCGTCTCCTTTCCCCCTTGCTCTCAAGCACGCAGTCCCGTGTGCAGCCCCCACCTCCATTGCCCTGAGCTCTCCTTTCTAATTCATCCATTAATTTCTTAAGTGCAGAGCAATGTGGCAGGTGCCATGGGGCATTTCAATGTATCCTTGTTGTGTTTTAGACATTTAAGTCTAGATGCAGAAACTCAGAACCTACAGAAATTGTTATAATTCTCTAATTAATGAGGTAATCATTCTTCCAAGTCTCATTGCTCTTTCCTTGACATTAGGGTGTGCCTTGTGGAAAGATCTCCGATGCACTTCAGGAAGTGTAGTGCAAGTGCAGGGGTGGTGTCTCCAGCTCTGAGGACTTCAAAGGTCCTCAGGGAGTGCTTGCGGATGACTGCATGGGATACGGGAGCCTCCAGAGTCGTATCTGATTATTGAATTCCTGCTCACTGCTCCCAAGGCTCACTCTGGACTGATCCAGGGCAGGCTTTTGTGGCACTGAGAGCCAAGGGGATTCTTGCAGCCTTCAGGAGGCCAAGTGCCTGTGGGGGCACAGAGATGTCACCTGACCGCCTGTCTATTCTTACTTGCTCAGGCTTTATAAGCCTTTGCCTTATTACTTTGCTTCCCTTCCATCAAGTTGGATAAAATTGGGATTTATTTTAGAAATGGATGTTATTAAAACAGTTAAGGTATTGGCTCAACCTAAAGGTCATACAATTTATTTGGGGAGCCAAGATCCGCTCCTCATCTACCTCTGCTTTCTAATTGAATAATGTTTGTTTCTTGTTTTTTTTTTTTTTTTGCTTCCTTATGTCCCTCATCACAGAGCAACAACCAGAAAAATTTTTTATGATTTAAAAATTTGAATTTTTTCTATACTTGGTGGTTTCCAAGAGTTTTTCCAATGCAGCCCTTATTAGACCTCAGTTGGCTTGATTTCTGAGATGTGTATGACACCATGAGACAAGTACCACGCCCTGCAGGAGTGCTTATTTCTAGAAGACGTAAGCTCATAGACCTCAAGTTAAAACAGCAACAACAAACAACCATGAACCAGGACACTTCTGAGCACAGTCTAGTTCCTGGCGGTTGCCAAAATAACTCTGCCTGACCTTGAAGGAGGGTGGCTTGGCCCGGTGTACCACTGCGTACCTGCTTTAGAAATGCTTAAAGCTTATGGCTAAGAATTTAAGAAGATTTTTGACCCAAGCTCCTGCTCTCTTTTACCTTGAGGGTAGGATGTTCTTGAAATCCATTGTTTTCAATGAGAAAAAGTTGGATTTTTGTAACATAATTTTCAGGAAGGTGGGAAGGGGGCTTCTTTTGACTCATTGGATGTTATTTCTGGTCAACATTTATTGACCAGATACTTCAATGATTCAGGGTAAGACGCAAGTAAAAAATATGGCTAGGTTTTCTATAGTCATAGACCTGCAAGGAGACTAAGAACGAGTAGACTATTCTGTGCTCTCTTGTGATGGTGAACAATTTTTCATATTTGTGAAATCGTGTGTGTGTGTGTGTGTGTGTGTGTGTATGTGTGTGTGTGTGTGTAAGTGTAACTATTGCCAAAAAAAGAGATGCTGTTTCTGAGCTTGAAAAAGCAGTGAGGAATTCCAAGGCACATTTGCCTCATTCAGGAAATACCGTTCTCAAGGGGAATGAAGCACCCTCGGGAAACCCAGGTGTTCCGTAACGAGGCCATCTGCATGTTTTCCTCTGTGCTCTGGCTTACTAGGAGGTGGTCTGGAAGAAAACGTGGGCTGTGCCTTCTAGTGACTTCCATAGCTAACCTTTGCTGATTCTGCATAGTCCACGGTCAGAGGGGCCAGAGAGGAAGGGGCAGAGGAGCTGCCTCAGGGGCCTTGCCTTCAGGCTCCTCCAGCGGGCTCATTTTAGGAGGAAGACATGGGATTGGGACTTCCCTTGGCCACTTTCCAGTGTGGCAAGCTGGTGGCTCCCTTCTGCCTCCCATCCTGGAGCTCACTACACAGGAGCTGACTGCGGGGCAGGAGGCACCTGGGTCTAATGGGAGGACTTGATGGAGAACTCGGGCTAGAGTGCCCCTGCAGGTGGCCCAGGATGCCACGTGGAGCTGCGTCACCTCCACTGCCTTCACTACGGGTGAGGGACTCATGGCCACTGGTGCCACCTCCTCTCAGGAGCAAAAGACAAGAGCAAAGGCAGCCACTTGKTGTCTTCTGGCCACCCATAATGAAGAACCTCATGACCCCGCTTCCCATCACTGGAGTAACAACTGTTTTCTTCTCTCAGGTGAGATTTCCTTCCCTGAGTCTTTTTAAAAGTAAGAGGGGATAATTGACTTGTCTGTTCTGGATTCACCTGCATCGTGTGTCCTTGAGCTGCCATTATTCATATTGGAAGTTCCACGAAAGTTCCTCATCCCAACCAATAAGACACCAACAGGGAGGCTCTAAATTCCATTACTAGACAAGACCATCCGTGGGGAGAGAAGTCACAAACTGTCCCTCCTGGCACAGGGAGGAGGCCTGAGCATGGCATCTCAGAGCCCAGAACTAAGGTTCTTGGTGTGCGCTCACACGACTTTGCTCTTGGGCTCTGAGTCCCTGGTGGGTCCACTGCCATCAGGGGGATGTGCCTACCTGTGTGCACCAGAGTGCAGATGCGCTCGCTCTCCTCCCTGCCCCGCACACTGTTGAGGCTGATTTCATATTCAGTGGCTGGGTGCAGCCTGGAGATGGTGAATTCTGTCACTGTGTTGGGCACCACTGAGCTGTCCAGCCGTCCTACTAAGGAAGAGCAGAATCCACCATTAAAACCTTGCTGCTTCCTCATCAATGTGATCAGGGGTGCCGTCTACATGGGGCACTGGTCATGAAGCACAGATGGATTTGGGACCCAGCACTGGATGTGAGGAGGGGGAAACGAGTGGTTTATGGGCTGGAAATGTTGAAGCTCAAAGAGAACTTGCATGCTTGTCCCAACCCTTCATTTGATGGGCTTCTTGGAACAAAAAGAAATGAGCTATTTATTGGGTGGTTTTCTAACAGCCCAGTTTTCTTTGAGGCAATTACATTGAATCAGTTTAGAGTGCGTAGCTGTAAAGAGTGGTCTGTGCAGCCCAGAGACAGGCTAGCCTGGAAAGCTGTCCTGCCCCCCACAGGAAGTGGGCACGCCCCCACCTCATCACCAGTGCCTTGTGCACCAACAAGGAATGCCAGGCTGGGCCAACTTCCCCTGACTCAAAACGTGGCTGGAGCAGCAGGACGAGGACCACATCACAGCTGCTCTGGCTTTGCTGGTCTTCAGCTATTCTTGAGATTCTAGTCTTGGGCTTTAGCCTCTCTGGAAAGTGCATGGTCCTGGCTCTCGGCAGATTCTGTTAGGAGCTCTTTTATCTCATTGCAGAGTCTAGATACTGGTGACCAGCTTCCTCTGCTGGTGAAGGGCCCGATGTCTGGGTGAATGTACTCACTCCTATTTTTGAGAGGAGTTGGCAAGCACAAGGTTTCTGGGCTGCTCCTCATGGACACATTCTCATTTTGAGGGAGCATGCCACAGGAGGGGGAAGAACACAGGCAGGGCTTAATGTCCATCAGGATACAATACTTTCCCCATAATAATTTCCATCCAGCTTCAATCCCATTAATCTTTGAGAAATCAAATTACTTGAATACCTTGGGTGGGTCGATATGACACTCGGTAGTAATCAAAAGATGCAACAGGAGGGCTCCAGGACACCATCACTGAGTCCTTGGTGACATTGCTAATCGTGATGTCTTTGGGAGGGTCAATTCCTACAAAGTCCCAGGTGATGGTGGGAAAAAGACAAGACAACATGATGTGAAAAAGGAATTTCTGTTCCTAGTTTTATGTTGACCAAGAGCTGAGGTGCCCCAGAGGCAGACAAAACACTGGGATATAACGGGGCAGCCTGGATACCATGGTCAGGCTGATGTTTCACCTGAAACCCATAAGATGTGGTCAAAGTGGTGCTCATGGAGAAGGTTTTAACAACACCAAGCCAAGGTGGCAAGGTCCGCACCTGTGCAGCAAATACGATTCATCTAAAGGCCAACTAGAACTTTCTTTTAAGTCCACATCATTTGTTTTGAATTCAGAACAACACAGTTATTTTCTCTGGGGTAAACTTCTCTTGGAAAAAACCCAACTTGCTCTTATCTTTTATTTTTTAGCAGCCACCTTAGGTTCTATTTGGAAAAACTTCCTATTGACTCTAAAGTGATTTTGGAGCACAAGTCCAGAACAAATCCACTTTCCTAAATTGTATTTCATTTATGCTGGGTACTTTTATTTTTTTGACTGCTAAGAAATTGCAAGGTCAAATCAGCTGAGTGTTTAACCCACTCGTCCAGTTTGTGAGTTCTTGTCAGTAATGTAGGAAACTACCAGAACACACACCTTCTTACCCACGAACACCTCATATTTGGAATTGCATTTGGGAATGATGAGGTGGACACGTGTCCAGATGGTCTCAGTGTGCCTGTGTTCCCAAACAATGTGTGGGTCCACCTGAGTGTCAGAACATCCCTGCATGATTGCATGTCCCTTCTGTGTGATTCTGAGGAAGCATCATCTGCACCAGTGGCCTTGTTGGGAAGTTGAGAGGTGGCTCTCCCGACCAGGAGCAGGTGTCTCTCCACTGTCGAGGTTCCTTGGGGGAGACTAGCTTTCTCCAGGGCTTTCTACTGGAGAAGTAGATGTGTAGACCAATGCATTCAAGCCTTGACCTCCTCAGGACATTGTGTCTAACCTACCTTCCAAACAGGAGCTTCCCATCTCATCATCTCACGCAACACTGGAAGAAGTAACAGTTCCAGGATGGCTCACCGACCCTCTTTAGCTGTAGAGGCCCACCCTGCCGCCTTTTGAAATCTTATTGAGTTTCACCCACTGCTGCCCAGTCTTGCAGCCTCACCTGTGGTGATGGAGCCCACAATGGGCTCTGAGGTCACTGTGCCATGGACAGCCACCAGGTTCACAATATACTCGGTGGCTGGCTGCAGACCCTTCAGGACGGCGTGTCTCTTGGTGGCATCCAAGGAGACCTCCATCATCTCCTCCTCTTCATCCCTGGGGCTGTAGTTCAAAATGAGTCTGTCTGCTGGGGGGGATGGGTCACTCCAGGTGATGTTGACACTGGAGGAGGTCACATGAGAAAAGTGCAAGTGGGAGATGGGGCGGAAGCCTGCAAAACACAGAAGGCGGATGGTTCTGAAACACACATGAGGTGGGGACTGTGGGGTCAGAAGAGCCACTTGGCTGCAAGCACCTGCTCCCGTCCTTCCTAAGGGCTCCACTTCCCCACACTCCAGTGCTGTCCACCCTTCCTTTCCCAAACTGAACACTGAAGAGTTAGTTCTGATAAGAACCAGAAAACTCTTTGGTACTGGTCCAGGACTTGAACTCCATCCTGGAAAGGACTTAATGTGATCCATGGGTCCTCAGAGTGCCCACTGACTTGAGTGTGGTCAGGGAAAGATGGAGAGGATCAGCGTCTTTGTCCAGGCTCATAGGAAACAGACACCAATTTCCAGGCATGTGGCATCCCTGCCCTCCCCTTTACTCCTAAGCATCCTCTCTTGACATACTTGTTGATTTTTCCTCCATGTCTTCTTTTTCAACCCGTCTCTCTTTCTCTGAAGGCAACGGGGCTTTGGAAGGGTGGACAGCTTAGAGGACCTTCTTGCCACTAAGATGCACGGATCCCTGAACCTAGCTGGGACTTCTGCTGCCCCGGTACCTGTGAAGGCGTCCACAGTGGACTCCAAGCTCTGCTGCCGACCCCTCTCCGCGGTGATGGAGATGATGTACTCTGCCCCAGGCTCCAGATCTGTCAGTGTATACGAGGTTCTGTCCTTGGGCACAGTGACTTCTGAGGCAATCCCAGAGGAGGGGGTAAAGGTAATTCGGTAGTGGTCAATGGGGCCGCTGGCCTTGGTCCAGATGAGGGAGATGGAGGTCTCGGAGGAGGCTGTCACCATGAGGTCTCGGGGACTGTCCAGTTCTGTGGATCAACATAAGTGGCTTATTTTATACAGGTTCCTCAGGATGACCAGTCTTCCCTGGACTACCCTGGGTGTTTCCCAGCTATCAGCAGGTCCGCTGACCATGAGCCTTAGCTTGTCATTGCTGATACTTGTCTCAGTTTTTGTTAAGCAGTTTCTTTTTGAAAGATGGCCAGAGTCTTGGCAAAGAGATAGACAATCTGCAGAAAGGCAATATCAGCTCCAACGCCACTGGAATACATCCACCTCTGGACAAAGCTGGCTGCTGTTTTTTTAAGTTCTTCATATTAATTTTCACTCTGCCTTTCTCAGTAGGCCAACCCTGACGGCCTCTCGGCAGGCCAACAGGAGCCGCTGCCCAGTAGGGGTACCCCATTCCTGGCAGTGGTAGCTTCCCTTGGCTCTCCCATTTGTCCCTGAGTCACTTTGACTTGGCTAACAGGTGGCCAGATCTGAGCACTCCTGGAGAGCCTCGTCCTCGGGCTTCGGCAGTGAGGTTGTCTGTGCTACACTGAACCTCGGGAACAGGGATGGGTCCCAAATCCCCAGCCCAGTCCTGCCCAGGCTGTTTCGTATCTAAGCTCCTGGAGGAACTCTGAGATTTCTTCAGGGTTTAGAAGCAAAACTTCTGGCTCCAGAGCAGCAAGGGTCTCTAGTGGATTTTTCTACTACCTTCGAATTTTATAGGTTATTTCCAAATTAGACCTCCACGCCAGTGACCTCTTGGAGGGACTGTCTTTTGACTCAGACTGCAGATGCCCTGTTCTGCCTGCTGTGGGTGTTCTAGATAGAAATGGAGCTGCAGCGGCACCTACCTACCTGGGGTTTCCCACCTTGGCTCTGCACTGCTCGGGGCAGCCCTTCAGGTCTGGAGGACCAAGCACAGGTCCATGATGGGGAGAGTAGGACTCTATCTTGCATGTCTGATGTTAGAATTGGACATCGAGTGGCTGTTGTCACTAGGTTGATAACTGTCACCAGGGCCCTGTTCTCGGGGGCCAGGAGATGCCTCCTCTCGAAGGCTCTACAGGCTTGCAGGGCTGCCTAGCCTCCCGCAGCACCACCCTCCTACTCACCTGTCCTTGCATTCATGGTGGCCGGCACGCTTTGTTGGGAGTTCATGACGGCAGATATTCCCACTCCATACTCGGTGCCAGGTATCAGATCTATCAGCAGGGGCACAAGCAAACATTAGTGTGTGTGTGTTGGGGGTAGGGCGTGGGACGGTTGGAGCGAAGGAAGATGAGCTCAGGCTCCTGTTCAGATCTTACCTTTCGTCCTCCTTGAGTCTGCTCCTAATTTTACCTAGTGAATCTCAGTTTCACTGCTCAGGAAATCCGTACCAAGCCAACAGAATGAACCGGCCTTCTTGCTGCTGGTCTTGGACAGGCAATGAGGCTGCCCTTGTCAGTGACCTCCAGAGGTGTGGTCACCTCTAGAAGGTCTCCCTCTGTACTTAGAGTCTCAAGTTGGCTAGAACTCGTGAAGGGGTTTCTTGCTTAAATCATAAACTGGGGGAGAGTAGGCTCCCCCCAACATCAGCAATGCAGCGATGCAGGCCCAGAGTGCTTACCACTATGGATCCCACTTTAGAGCCCCTTCTGGTAGCTCCTGGAGGTGACGGAATGCCAGAACTGTCTGACCACAGGGCGTGTGCCTCTCAGGGCATCCTTCTGGGCTTTATATTAAGGATTGTGGCCGGGTTCCCAGAATTCTCTGGGGTCTCTTCCTACCCTCTGGCACATTCATTTTCAGACCAGCTTGTTGGACTGGTGTATTGGTTTTTTACTGACTAATTACCACAACTTCACACATTTATGATCTCCTGGTCCAGGAGAGCTGAAGACCCCAGGGTGCAGCAGGGCTGCGCTCCTCCTGGGGGCTCGTGGGAGGAGCCACTGGTCTGCCTATCTCAGTTTCAAGAGGCTGTCTGCACTCCTTGGCTCACGGCCCCCTGATCCTTCATCAAGCCCAGCAGCTTAGCATTATTGCCTCTCTCTCTCTCCCTCTCTCTCTCTCCTTCTCTCTCTCTCTCTCTCTCTCTCTCTCTGATCTCCGTTTCCACTGTCACATCTGCTCTGACTCCAACCTCCCTGCATTCATCTGGTCGGTACAGGAAAACTTGCCCGTCTCAAGATCTTTGATTCACCACGTCCACAAAGCCCTTCTTGCCATGTAAGATGACATGTTCACAAGTGCTCGGGATTGGAACATGGACATCTCGAGACCATTGTTCCATCTACCACCACAGGGGTCAGACTCATTCCCATTTATTATGACTGTGATTGTAGAAAAATGCAACAAAATCAAATGATCACCCCTGGCATCTCCAAGGGTCACTCCGAGTCCCGCTAAGCTCTTTGTGGGACCTTGTGTGGGCTCTCCAGAACCGTGGATTATTATAATGCTGTCCTGCATTTATATAACACAACTCATGCTTTTCAGAATTGAATGTGTCCTTGAGAGGGAGGTGGGAGGGCTGTGCTTTCTCCATCTATATATTAGTTTCCTGAGGCTCTTGTTATAAATTCCTGCAAACAGGTTACTTAAAACTACAGAAAGTTCTGGAAGTGTGAAGTCAAGGGTCAGTAGGGCCGTGCTCCCTCTGAGGCTCTGTGGGGACCCCTGCTGTACCTCTCTCTGGCAATGCATTCTTTGGAGGACCTCTGAATACCGCTCCCTCTGCCTCTGGGTCCCATGGCATTCTGTGTGTGTGTGTGTGTGTGTGTGTGTGTGTGTGTGTGACTTCTCCTCTGACAATAACAACAGTCTCATGGGGTTTAGCGCCTGCACTAATCCAGTAGGACCTCATGTTAAGTAGATTATGTCTCCAGAGGCCATGTTTCCAAATGAGGTCACATCTCCAGGTTCTGGTGGACATGCATTTCCAGAGAATGGTATTCAACTCAGTATACCTTTTTTTTTTTAATAAAAAGAAATTGAGGCACAGAGGAAGCCTATGATGAGCTAGAAACCATGATTCCCAGACTTTTTGGCCTGAGAGTGCAGGGCTTTCAGGAGAATTGAGAAGCACTCCTCCACTCCCACCATCTCCTGCTGCCAGACTCACTGGATTCCCAGGGCAGCTGTGACCGCCCTGAGATTCCTGAGGTCAGTCCAATTTGATAGGGGATGCTTTGAGGCATCCTCCTTTAACAAATGGCTTGGTTTAGTCAAGGGGAAGGCCGCATGGTAACCAGACCCCTCCAACAGCAGCTTTGGTACAGGCTACACTCTACACACCTCCATGGTGCGTGTGGAAGAAACTACCTGGTGGCATTGGCCACGTTCCCTGGAAGGAATGGAAAGAATGCAGTCAGGAAGGCATTAGGATCAGCTCCTGAACCAGCTCGACCACTTTCCTAGCCCTTAGTTCTTTCTTTCTCTAATCTGTCGGGTGTGTCTCTAAAGTGGAGGTCAAGTTGAATCCTGACGCATTGTTTTATATGGAGGTCTGCCACCTTCCACAGGGTACAGCTGAATTCTCACCACCTGAAGGTCTCAACTTCTGTAGAATGGGACTAATACCAAGATCCATCTATGTGAGGATGAAGCCCCTGGCCCGTAGTGACAGTAGCCAATGTTATTATTATCTAGCAAAGAAAACGACTCCAGGATTCTGAGTCCTTTGGGGTAGGTGGTCTTGGAGCTATATAAAGTACCCTAGGCAGGCACAGGGGGGTCCTCGGTACACCTGTGGTTGCCGGGTCGCTCAGGCTTAACCTGTTGACTCTGTCGGGAACCAAAGATTCAGAGTCGAGGGGTCAGTGTGGAGCTTGCCCTGGCTCAGGACGCACCTGTCTCTAGATGGAGCGGGGACTGCAACACCCCGGGTCCTTTCAAAGCACACATTTACTTCTGTCAATAGGTTCAGTGAGTCCCAGGTACCTCCTTGGTTGGAKAAATTAGATTACCTTTGGGACATAAACTACTCTTCTCAGGCAACTGATTGAGACCTTCAATTGCCTATAATGAAGTAGAAATTCTCGGCRGTAGATGAAGGGTGACAGATTGAGGGAGAAAGACAGAAATTATATGTTGCCAAACGGATCTAACATGCAACGTTTCCATCCGAGTTTCTTATTTATGAAGCTTAAATGAAATGTTCAATAATTTACAACAGAATCGTCTTCTCCCAGAAAATGGCAGAGCAGAATCGAAAGCACTCCCTCCCAGGTCTCCTGCCTCCGGAATGGGGAGTGGGACTCGCTTCTAGGTGTGTGCCTGTTGCCTGCCTTTGATTGTTCGCAGCTTTCTTCCTGCGCTATCACTGAATTGTTGCTCTTTGCCGGCAAGTAAGATGCAGTTCTGCTGGAAAAGAAAATGTGTACGGGAGACAGACCCAGGACACCTCCATCAGCGCTCCCAGGACCCCTAGGGATGTCTTACTTTAAAGAACCCTTAGCTCTCCATCAACGCTTCCTTTATCTTTCCATCCATCTCCTGCAAGTGGCAGCACATAAATGGTCTGTTCTCTTTCTCAACCAAAGCTCAGAAAATTTATCTCATGGGAAGCCACTGTGCTCCATCCCTTATAGACTTTCCCGTGTTCCGGCTGGAGGTCGACATGTTCCCAACTCTCCCCACACACCTTCCTGTGCTTCTCTGAACCCCTCAAGCATACAGGTCATCTGCTTGACAAATATTATTGAGGTCATCCTTTGTGGCAGGCACAAGGCTGTGGGCTGGGGATACCAGCAAGCTGAATGGTCACTGCCCTTGCCCTTCCGGGAATCAAAAGAATCTGAACTGAAAAAGCAAATTAATTATTTACTGAGCACCCAYGAGAGGCCAAGTCCTGAGCGACATGCAAAAGGTAATCTACAAGTATAATGAAGAAGAAAGGGAGGGAGGGAAGAAGGGGTGAAAATGAAGAGGKTTTGGGTCTCTGATGGCAACAAACATGGCTATAATTGCAACTTCTTGGAGATCACACACGGCACCTTATTTAATTCTCCTGTGGCTCTGCTGGGAAGATTCTGCTCATGAGCAAGGGGCTCTGAAAAGCCCATTCCTGTTAAGATCACAAAGCTGGTGTTGGAGAAAGCCAGGTTTAGAACCCAAGCCCCTTGTTCTTTCTGGTCCCTGTCCCTAAGAGTGCTATAGGTTGGCAGTGGGGACTAGACAAAGTGATTTGGAATTTGAGAGTGATGGGGTACCACACTGTGGGCTGCTAAGAGCCACTGCAGAGGGGTATGGGATCAGTACAGGCTGGAGTCCAAGAATGGACTTGAGTTGGGCCTGAAAGCTAGGTGGAGGAAGGAAATAGAGTTCTCTGGGGGTCAGAATGGGGCAGGGTCAGCAGTAATAGGTAAATTAGGGCTGAGAGCAACAAGAGGAGCAAAGCTCACCTTCACTGCAAGGTGACATACAGGCAGAACACCTCTACACTGTTTAGGAAGCCTCCTCTCACACTTGCTGCTGCTAGTGGGGAAAACAGGGTGGTTCGGGGGGAAGGAGGCCTGAGAACGGTCACTGCTGTCTCTTGCTCAGCAAAAGCATGAGTGTGGTGCTTGTGGACCGCAGCCTTGGTTGGGCTCAGGTGAGCATGAAGAAATATGAACCCTTCCATCTCCMAAATCCCTGGGCTGAAGCTCAAGTCCCCTCTCTGGGGACAGGGATTGAGTTGGCCCTAGCACACTGGATTCCTGCCTACACAAAGAGGGACAAACTGAGAACCCTGTCCCAAAGGAGTTTGCAGTTGGTTTATTAGTTTCAATAGCAATTATGTTTTCAGTGGTTATTGTTAGTTTTCATGTCTGTCTCTTTACTGTAATCTTAGGTCTTTAAGATAAAGGATCTCGGGGCTGGGGATGTGGCTCAAGCGGTAGCGTGCTCGCCTAGCATGCATGCGGCCCGGGTTCGATCCTCAGCACCACATACAAAGATGTTGTGTCGGCCAAAAACTAACTAAATAAATATTTAAAAAAAAAGATAAAGGATCTCATTTTTTTTTTCAGCATGCAGTATAGTGGAAAAATATATATGAAGCAGAAGTAGCATAGTACCCATGGTGGTAGGGAGATTTCCAAGAGAGGATGTCTGTACTGGGTTTTGAAGGGTCTTGTGGCCAGTTGGCTGGGGAGAGCATTCTAGGCAGAGAGAACAGCATGTGCCAAAGTAGATCTATTAAAATCATTCATGAACCTGATATCAGACCCCACCGCAGGCAAATTTCCCAGTGGTGTAACTTGGAAAAACTAGAGGTTGCATAGGTGGAGAGATACTTGAAGACAGGGGGTCTTCTGACAGCCCCTGAAACCTCACCAGGGAGGCAAGGGTCTACTTTTTGGTTAAATGGAGGCTAAGCCCCCAAGGTTCTTGCATAAGAAGGTGTTTCTGCAGGTCTCCCGGATGAGGCAGGCTTTTGAGGACATCCCTTACTCTTTGGGGTATAAATGATGTTCAAGTATCAAGAGGAGCTGACCACTCCATCCTGATTCTAAACCCATACGTGCAAAGAATAGCAATACCGAGCATTCTCAGAGGGAACTTTCTTGTTGCCAGTGAAATTAATGAGGATCATGGCTCATCCCCCCATCCTGCAGGYACACCCCATTTCTATAGACAAGGGCTTTCTCTAAACAAGTGCTCCTTGCTGAAGAAGCCAAAGCAGAAGCTGAGACATCCCCGGCTGACTTTTCTCCTGGGCCCCTTTCCCAAGGCTTTTAACACTAGAAGGGACAGGCTCCCCAGGTCCCAACTCCACGAGGAGGTGTATGGATGCCTTCCTCTTCTGCTGGGGTCTCTGCAGCCCACACCCACTGTCCTGCCCCTGAAGTCCCAGAAACGACCTTGTGTTTAGAGGGTGCCTCACCAAAGTGACCACTTGGGGTCACTGTGACCTCACCCAGAGGTGGCTGAACACACTCTAGCCCTGGTCTCAGGCCCAGCACCCTGACCCCTCTCAGGAGAGCCCACAGGGCACTGAGGGCCTGGTGCTGATGTGGTATTTGTGCGCCGCCATGAGGGAGTGCAGACAGGGTGCAGGGGAGCCCGAGGGCCTGGCTGGCAAGGGGACCGGGAGTTCCTCGAAGAAGATCCTCCCATGGACAAGCATGGTCTCCTGCCTCTGCACCTTGAGGACCTCACCATGTCACCACCACCCCACCAGGGCCTGAGTGAACATGGAGAGTGATACACCTACTGGGATGTGGGCCTGCCCTCACATCCCCTGGCCACCAGAGGCCTGGAAGGTGGCCGATCACATCACCTGATAAAGATACGCTTGCACACACCAGCACGCACGTGTGCACAAGACACGTGATTGCATGTGTGTGTGCATGGTACATGTGTGTGAGTGCAGGTGGGATGTGAGTGCAGCTGTGCCTGTGCCTGTGTGATTTGTGTATTTGAGAATATGTGTGTGAGTGGTTGTGTGAATGTGCGTGTGTCTGTGTACGTGTGAGTGAGTGTGTCACATGTGGCTGGCCCTAAGTCTTCTTTCCTTGCAGTCCTGTGTTGTATTGTGATGTCTAAAGGGACTGAGGCCCTGGGTTTCTGAGCCTGTTGGTGGCTTTTCCGGCTGGTCAGGTGGCTGTTGGCAAGGCCCTCRRGAGGGCTTACAGGCCAGTTCATATCTCCTTTGTTCCCTTGGTCCTGGGGACCTTCAAGGGTGGCCTCTGTGCATGAGGGAGGCCTGGGGAGAGAGCACAGGTGGCCGAGGGCACACTCCTCTGCCTTCCAGGTAAACGTGGTAGCCACACCTGCCTCCCGGATGACCCATAGAGGAGTCACGGCAGGTGCAGTAACCAGAGTGGTGTTGACTACTTGTACTAGTCCCAGGCAGAGAGGTGCCTCCTGACCACCTTTCAGCCAGGGGCCCAGATCTCCTTTCTTGGCTGGGTCTCTATCCCCTTCCTCTGTCCACTGGGAGTCTTCCGTGAGGGCTRATTGTCTTGTGCTGCTACCCAGCATCTGAGTGGTGTCCACAGTCCCTGTGCYAGGTTCTAACCTGGAGGTGCCTTGGAGAACATTCAGGGACCCTTTGGAACTCCAGGTGTGGTTTACAGGCCAAGCAGACACCAACCCACCTAARAGGCTGAGCCAAAATCGGACTCATCATTAAGACAAGAAGCCATCAGAGCAGGGGGCTATCATGGCAGACACTGAGTCTGTTGTTCAGAAACAAGTTCATACTCCAGAGGGAACTGCTCAGAGAATGATGGGGAAGATGTCTGGTGCTGCGCCCAGCTGGGCTCCGTGTGGCAAAGGGCAAGGTCTGCAAAGGGGGATGCGGGGGGGGGGGTGTGCTGCTGCAGTCCTCAGAATGACTCAGAGCCCACAGAGTCGGGGAAGGCCCAGATCCCACAGCAAAGGGCCAACGTGGGCCTCCGAGACAAGGCCTCTGCAGTCCAAGGGCCGTCGGTGCTATATTGTGGGAATAAAGGGGGCTGCGTGTGTGCCCAGAGGTGACCAGGCTGTCATGGGTCCCCGGCTGAGCTCTGTGGAGGAGAAGAACAGTACAAACTTCCCAGTGGCTTCTGACGCTCAGTGTTAGCAGCTCTTCCCTGAACTCCCTACATACGTGACCTCATGGAAGATTCATGGTGACCCTGGGAGGTGGGTGGTGGCAGCCCTGCTTTACAGAGGGAGAAACACAGGCCGAGAGGTCTTGCTGGTGGCTCAAATCACCCTCAGGAAGGGGTGAGCCTGGATTTAAGTCCAAAGCCTGGGCTCCAAATGTGTCACCGGGCCCAGGGTCTCCAGAGACCTTGGAGGCTGCAAAGATTTCCTCTTTAGGGTACAAGCAGGGCTGGAGGGAGAAAGCTCTGCCGCTTGGAGCTCAGATCACACGGCTCCCTCCCCTCTTTCTCATCGGGGCCCTTCCTTTTCTTCCTCCAGATACTGCTGCAAGAGAGCAAGTGATCTTCGTAGCTGGAGTCTCAGCCAGTAGCATGTCCTTGACTTGGTTTCCTCACATACCTCTGATCCTTCCTTAAATCACATAAAGACATTTGCCTTCATAAATCTCCTCAGCTGTGAGCTCCCTGAGATAATCGTGTGACATTGTGTGAGTGTGTGTGTGTGTGTGTGTGTATTTGTGTGTGTGATTTTTCGTCAGCCCCACTCTAGCACAACATACTAACCTATCTAAACCCACTACTCATAATAATTTACCATCCTTTATAGCCTGTGGCATTTGAATCCGGACCTTCCCTTACATTTGGCTTGTTTGTGGGAAGCAGCAGCGGTGGGAGGAGAACCTTCGGACCGGGACTCAGGAACCCAGTCCACTCACAGCCCAGTCCACTCACAGCTGCGGACTTGCTAGCTCTGTGAACCTGGCAAGTGTCCAGATTCCCAGGGCCTCCGTTTCCTCATCTATAAAGTGGGGTTGCTAACAGGACCATCTCATGAGGTTTCTGTGAAGATGAAAGAAGCTATAACTGTGGCCAGGAGGTCTGGGATTTCAGCTCAGGAAGAAAACAGCTTTGATTGTGCCRCCCTGGTTTGAGGTCCACTCTTTGCTGGGTAACTTTTGACTAGGAAGATGGCAGACACTTCTGCAGGAAGCCAAGACCAGTCAACAGACTGTCTGGGAGCCCTCGGGCGGCCCCGGGCCAGGACCGCTCAGCATTGCCTTCATCAGGACCCAGGCCCTGTGTTTGCAGTCRCCCTCCCTGGGCAAGGTCTGGCAGCAGGCTCTCTTGGATGGGCGTGCTGAAGGGCCCAACAGGAGTCAGCACTGTTCTCCAGCCAGGTGTGGGGGGCAGTGGGCACTGCCTTAGTCCACACCACCACCCCAGCCATGGCCTCCTGACCAGCCTCTGCCCTTGACCTTCTCTGCCTACCACAGTAATTACATCACCTTATTTAAAACTCCTCAATGGCTCCTCATTGCCCTTTGGAATAAACCCCGAGTTTTTACAGGGTATATAAGGATGACCAGGCTCTCACCCTGTCATTGGCCTCTCACACTCTATGTTCCAATCAGAGTAAACTTTTGCAGCTTCATTCACTCATCCCTTCAAGAAATACTGCTCTAGGACCTAGAATATTCTAGATACCGTAATGGACCCTGGGGATTCAATGATGGGAAAAAGAAAATGTGGTCCATCTTCCCTGGAGCGCCAGGTCTAGGGAGAAGCTCAACTGTCAAAGAGTCATGCCCACAGGTCAGAGGCATCTTGAGCCGTGCTGAGAGCGAGCTGGACAGCATGATCTGGCTTCTTGCAAAGTGGCATGTGAACTGGGGGCGGGAGGGAAAGCCAGCGTGAACTAAGAGAAGAGCAGAGCACCATGGCAGGAAGGACAGCACGTCTGAGGCACTCCCAGACCCATGGGCTAGGAGCAGAGAGGGCACCAGGGGATGGGGAGGGGTGGGACTTGAGAAGGCAGGGGACTGGGCAGGGCAGGCCAGCCATGYTTAGGGTTTTAGTTTGCTCTGAGAGCAATGGGCAAATACTTGGTGTTACCTCATGAGGGTTTTACTTGGAAATTAGACATTGATACACTTTGTGTTACCCCATGACCATCCAAAGGTATGCACAATGAGTTGGCATCACCAAGAAAGTATTTTGAAAAGATCCCCCCCCGTTTTGATGGATTGGATGGGCCTGAAGAGGAGGTCCCTGCAGAGGTTCAGGGAAGGGATGAGAGTAGCTCAGTGGGTTGGCTTTGGGRAGAGTGGCCTGAGAGAGAGCTGTGAGGGTGTAGGCTGAGCAACCATTGTGCCCCAAAGAGACAGCACTTACCTGTGAGGGTGGCTCTGGTGGTTGGACCAATGCTTTTGGGGACCAGCACCTCATGGTATTGCTCCCCYGCCAAGGTGCTGTAGACGACCTTGTATTCCTGAACTTCTGCCTCGCTGTTATCCCACTCAAGGTCAAGGCTGGTTGCTGTGCGGGAGCCGACTCGTAAATTCTTGGGGGCATCAATCTCTATAAACAGACAGACATCACCAACATCACGCCCGATAATGTGCATCTGTGGTGCACCTTGAATTTTAAAAATCTTTGTGGTGAGACCCCAAGCTTCCTGACCCTCTGCCTCACATTTGAGTGAGCTCTGTWTCTGCCCCTGGCTTTTTGGTCTGTCCCAGCAAATTCCTTGGTCTGGTTGGAGGGTTTTAYTTGRAAATTAGACATCGATACACTTTGTGATACCCCATGACTATCCAAGGGTTCCAGAAACTTRGAAATGAGCCAACTAATAGCACAGGCTCCAAAACAAAGCAAAGGGAACCYCAGTAGGAGAAAATCAGGGATAATCCTTAAGTGATTAAAATGGAAGAGAACAAAATCGGGTTTGAACATCAAGCAAAGGGAGGAGGGTTGATTTCAAGCTACCCTTCTGGAGTTTATGAGTATAGAAATAGCTGAAAGGTTTATAGATTGAAATTAAAACACAGACAGGGGAAGTGAGGTACTGGGAAGAATATGGGCTTTGGGGTCAAGCTTCAGTTTGATTTCCAGCTCTGACACCTACAGGAATGGGTCGTGGACAAGTCTTCCAGTCTCACTGGGACTTGATGGCCACTTCTGTAAAAGGAGCAAATGATGCCATATTCCAGTTGCCGTACGGTTAGACAATACATGTCAAGTTGGTTGCCTGGTGCCTGGTGTGAAGATAGGTGTCCAGACCCTGGGCTGGCTTCCTGTTGCCTCCGAAACGCTTCCTGAGTTCCAACAGTATTGYACCCCAATGCTCGCTCTTGGGGTTCCACAAATTCCAGTGCAATGAAGGGACTATCAGCTTCGGCATCTCTCCCACAACCCCAAGGAGCTGCTTCTCTCCCTGAGAACTGATGGTCTTGTCAGACTCATTTGGGGACCTCTAGGTGTGACCCTGAAAAACTGAGACTCAAATTTAACTTGGAGCAGACCAGTCCTTTGTTCCAAGCAAACCTCCCCTGGGCAACTGTAGTCTGCAAAAGCAAAGCAAGTATYCTGGATCCTCTTGCAAAGACGAGAATGCTGCAAATCCACCCAAAAGCAGAGGCTTGGGAGTGAGAAGTATTCTGTTTAGTGATGTAAATTGGGTGAATCTTTTAGCAGACTTATGTCTCTGCAGCTTGTTTTCTGAGAACTGTTTTTCCAGTCAAAGTACTTTAGCAAGGGGAGCTGTGCATCCCTGATGTGTTGTGTGTGCTATTTCTCTAGCAGTTGGGTGGAGGAGCCTGTGGRGGGATGTGCCTGACATCATGGCCCTGAGTGTCATGGGCGTGGGGTGAGAACAGCTGGGTTAGGRTCAAGGTGGAGACCTACACCTAGTGCTCTTACCTTGGAAACATCCCCTTTTTATAAGGACTCAGAGAGGACTCACTGCCAACGGTTCTGGGAGGTTTCTTCTTAGGGCTTTTGCCCTGTGGATGGGGGCAGAGTTTTCTGTGAAGGGAGTAGACACTTCCAATGCCAACAACCCTAAAAGAGGTCATTCCTGGAACAAGAGCTTGGGCAGAGGGGAACCTACTTGTGGTCTCAGGGTCTGGAGGCCTGGCTAGGAGGGGAGGCTGAGAGGCACCCCTCTAGGCGGGGAACAGAGCTGATCTCTAATGCATCAGCAGACCTGGGGCRAGAGGCAGAGGTAGATGGCTAATGGGGGTCCTGGAGGGACTTGTGGCTCTGAACTCTAAAGCACAGGCTAGATCCCATGATTCTGTTCTGAAGCCTTCCCTGTTGCTCCCATCATGAGCTCACGAACCTCCCTGCAGGCCCGCTGGCCTGGCCTGCCTGCTCCCATGCATCACYCTGTCCTGCTTCTACCCTATCCCTGGGGCTCGGCTGTCTGCCTTCTTTCTACTGTTGAAACACATCAAGCTAATTCCTACCTCGGGCCTGTGCACTGGCTGCTGCATCTGCCTGGAATGAGCTCCAGATCCCTGAATGACTTAGTCATTGAGATCTTAGTTACAATGTCASGTTCTCAGAAAGCCTTTCCAAACGGCTGGATCCAGCGGATCCCCTCCACGTCATCCATTTCACTTCTCATCACAGAGCTCACCATCACAACGATCTTGTACATTTCTTTCCTTTTCACTGGCAAGTTTCCCYCAGGAGTATGCCATGCATGTGATCCAGGTCTTGTCTTTTTTGTTCTACACCCTTAGGTCCAGCAGATGCTCAATAAATAYACACCAAGCCACTGAATGAACACCATCAGCTCTGTTTTGTTGGCTAATTCAAAGCCTCTGCAAAAGTCTTGTCAGCTGTTCAGCCATGGGGCTTGGGATGCTTGGGGTGAGGTGGTGCAGGGAGAAGAGCTTTGGCTGAGGACAGCTGGTGTTGCAGGGGCAGGAAGCCCCCATGTCCTCTGCCATCCACAGTGAGAATCTTGGCTAGGAAGGTAAGTACTGTCCTGGTTGAACTTGGGAAAGAATTTCTATGAGAATCCCAGAGTGGAATCACTGAAAAGCAGGTGGGGCTTGGACCTTCCTGGTGTTCCCATTAGTTTCCCAGATATGGTACTCCAAGTTGGATATTTTAATAGAAAATTATTGTCTAAAAGTCTAGAATCAAGGTGTTGGCAGAGTCGCTTCCTTTGGAGGGCTGTGGGAGAGCGTGGCGGCCTCTCTTGGCTTCTAAGGAGTGGCCAGCCATCTTTTGGTGCTTCTATCTCTGCTCCCRTCTTCAGGTGGCGTTTTCTTTGTGGGCATGTCTGTCTCTGTCAGAAGTTCCCCTTTCCATAAGGACATTGTTATATTGGGTTAAGGCCACCTCAATGACCTTATCTTAATTTGCCTAGAACCTATTTCCAAATAAGGTCACATTCATATGTACTAGGGCTTCGACACCTTTTCAGGAGACGCAGTTGAACCCATATCAGCATTAAAGAGAATTCCGGAAGCATTTAGGTCACGTGCACCCGTGGCTGAACTCTGTGGCTTCAGGCTTAGGCTCAAAGAGGCCCCCTACAGCAACAGTCCAGGGGTGGTGGCGCCCCCTTGAGGGCAGTGGAAGGCCAGGCTGCTGAGGGTGGGGATTCAAGAGACTGGGCTCTAGATTTCCTGGGTTGGGGCTGGCTTCTCCCTTGCCACTGGCTGGGGATGCTGCCATCAGAGCCTTTTCATTTTTCAGAGCAGCGCTAAGACCCAGGCAAATATCCCACTCACCATGCAGGAAGCAAATCTCTGTTTTAATTGCCTGTGCAATTAGTGCGCTCCTAGTGTCGAAGCCATCACCTGGAAAAGCACTTTGGTTAATTTGAATTTAAGCGGAGTTCTGGAATGACTAAGGGCCCTGCCGCGAGGGCCCGGGTACCCTCTCATCATTCAGCTGGCACATGCCAACCCCGAATTTGAGAGTCTGTCTGCAAAGCTATTTGCGGCTTCTGGCCTCTTCTCCCCTCCCCCGCTCCTAAAGCAGAGGGGAGTGGGTTGGATGGACAGGCCCAGGCTRCACAGAGAAGGCAGCCATGGCTGCCACTCACCAGGCACCGGAAATGGGAGAATGGAGCAGAGGCGGGCAGCAGGGAGCTGAACCCTGGGGGGGGGGGCCTTGGAGGCGGGATGTAATTGTCTTGATTGGAATTTTCCTGGGCCACTGGCCAATCCTGCTTCCATCTTGTTGACCTGAACATCAAGAATTTGCTTTTCACCACGCTGCTCACTGCTTGACAGCCCTCTTCTCCTGTTTTGCCTCTTCAAACTCCTTATCAGAGCAGAGCACAAAGAAACTACTTTCCAAACACAAACTCTCCTGAAAGTAACAAAAGAATGCAGCACTGCCCAGGGCAGACACCACCATCCTGAGCAGGTGCTGTGGTGTGTGCGTGGTGGGTTGACCTTGAATTCTCAGACTGAGAGGGGATATCACAGGTCATCTTTCCTCACACTCTGCCAGGAATATTTTAGTTAAATGAGGGAGAAGAAGGGAAGAGAAATGGGCAGAATTCGGCTCCTCTTTTCCAGGGAGAATATTCAGTCTGGGGATGTGTTCAGAAAAAATTACCACTGGCCACCCCCTGGGTGAGGGAGTGGAGTCTGGGTAAAGGATAGACAACCACCTGGAAGTTCTCTTGCAGAATGAAGTCCTGCCTTCTGCAGCTCGCCAGTGTCTACGTTTGCTTCTTTTTAAGAAGCAAAATCTTCTGCGTGGAAAGAGCCCCATTGAAAGACTCCTGCTTCTCTGTCACTAGGGAGGGTGGCCTTAATGGCCAGTTCTGCAGCAGAGCCTGGACACTGTCCAGCACTTCCCTCTCTTGTGGGATGGGCTGCCCCATGGACCAGGTCTCTTCCCATTCCTCCTTGCTCKAAGTCCTAACCCAAGTAGCCCCCAGGTCTGCCACATGGACAGATAGCCCAGGTCCACAGTGCCGGTCAGCTTGCAGATCTAGCTGGCAGTCACACTTGGCTGCACGCTCCAACCTAGGGAACGTTTTGGTGTCTTTCTCTCTTATTCTTTGCCTTATTTATCAATGGCTTAAACCCAGGTGGAGCAGGGAGTGCTAGCTATTGAGCCTCCTTGAAGCCCCTGGGCTTGCTCCACCCCTCGACAGGATCTCAGGCCACAACCCAAGGCAAGATGCTTGAAATAGTGATTCTTCTACTGTCAGATGGTGCTGGTTCTCGGATCCTACAGATGGCATCAGTTTCCTCRAATCCCTGGGACCCCTTAGAGTTAGCAGAGAACCTTGACACATTCCCCAAGGCAGAGAGGCCAATGCCCATCCTGATTAACGAGGCTCAGTGACCAAGCTGACCCAGCCAGGGTGCCAGGAAGCTGGTCCCTTGGGTGGTTCCTGTCTTTCTTGCCCACAGTTGGCCAGACTAATGGGCACTGAGAGTCGGAGCGAGTCACCTGAGCTCTGGCCCTTCCCGAGTGCTGGTGAAGCTCTTTGACGCTAACAGCCTTGGGAAGGGGGCCGTGGTCACCATGGCGGTTGGGAGGCATCATGTGGGCTTCCAGTTTCCTGTCCCTGGAATCAGGGCTTGGGTTGGCCCCATGCTGGTGCTTACACAGGACGAGTCACAGCCCTGCATTCGGCCTGTGGTGGGTCGGGTTGGGCTTTGAACCACGCCGAGGTGCTCCACCGTGGCCATGCGGCCATTACAGATTTAGAGAATGACTACAACAATATCCACAAATGGCCATGAAGCGTCCTGAGCAAGACGCACCTTTCCCGAACAGTCCCCACGTTGTCATTTGGGCTAGCACGACGGATGCCCCGATGTCTTCAAAATAAATGTGTCATTTCACAAATGTCATTTTGCAAACCTCAGGGACTCATCGGAGGACAGGACTCAGTCGCTGGTCTGGCTGGCAGAACGAGGATCAGAACCTGTTCTGCTCACTCTGGTGCCTGCTTTTCCTTTGTGCTGCGATGCCCCAGACCACTCCCCTCCTTCTGGCACTGACCACCCCACTCCTTTCTGCTCCTCTTGTGAGGACTCCACCRGCGGGCTCCCCCTCCCCCGTGCTCCTCTTCCCACGGCAGCCTTACCTGTTGTGAACTCGGTGGTGGTGGACGMGCTCTCGTTGGCCCCTCGGACCGCGCTGACCGACACCGTGTAGCGGGCGCCGGGCCGCAGCGCTTGCACCGAATACTGGCTGAGGGGAGGCTGCAGCCGGAAGGTGGTCTTCCCRCCTTCCCCGCCCACCAAGCCGTATTTCAAGAGAATGAAATCAACTTTAGCTCGAGGTGGGGTCCACTCCACAAAGGCCACTGTGTCAGAGACATCTCGAACCAGGATCTGCGTGGGCCCATCAATGACTGAGAAGGATCAGATAGAACAAAACGTCACCAGTCGGGCATAAGCCTTTGGCATCTGCCCCCTCCTTCTGGTGTGAGCTTGCTCAAAGAGGGCCTGGTGTGGCCTCCCATTTTACAGACAGGGAAAGTGAGGAGCACACTTTGGCAGTAGGACTCAGTTCTCCTGATGTTGGTCCAGTTCTCCCTTTACCATGCTGCAGCTTCTGGGGCTGGCAGTTCCCAGCCTGGGAATGGGAGGGCACTTCCTGGTCTGAGAGACTCAGACCAATTTCTTTCTGCAGGAAATGGGACAAGGACTTGAGGACCAAGCTTCTGCTGCCAAGCTCCCACCTTCAGGGGGCCCCTAGGAAAAATCTGTGGAGTGACCACCTGTCTAAACGTCTGAGACTTAGACCTCAGAGGTCACTGTGAGTGTTCCAAAGCTGACCCTGTCCAGCTGTACTCACACCCAGACAACTCAGTGGCTGAGACTGTGCCAAACCCAACAGATGTGTGCCTTTGTGCCCAGGAAACATGCCCTCTGGGAAGACACAGTTCTGGGCCATTTTTGTTTTCTCCTCCAGGGCTTGCATATTTCTGAGAAGGAAGGACACTGCAGTTACACCTAGGTCCTCAAGGTTTCGAGCGAATGTCCCTCATGAGCCCTGGCCTCTGGCACCAGGTAGCTGAGGGGAAGGCTGGGAAAACTGGCTGGTCTCCTACAGGGCACAGCATCTACAGCTCTAGCACCCGCTGGGTGCTGTTCATATTGAATTATGCTGGGAGAGGGCCAAGGAATATAGAAGGGGAATAGCAAGAGGGAGAACCTGGGAGAAGAGAAGATTACTTCTCAACTCCTCGTGGGATGTCTGCAGGGCTAATAGCTCTTTGCTAAGCATTACTCACTACCTGCAAAAGAGGAGGCCCAGACTCCAGATTTGCATTTGCTGTGTGACCTCATTGCTCTGATTTGATCTGATCAATGTTGATATTCCCCAAGGATCTGGAATTGGCACCAAATTGACTCTGGTTCTCYAAGCAGCCTGTGTTGGACCATGAGCTGGTGTGGCCATGGTCYATCATATTCATACAGAAATAGAAACATCGGATGGCATGGGGCAGGGAGGAGGAGAGGAGAGGAGAGGACTGAAGAGGGGACAACAGGGGAGGGGAGATGAGGGACCATGTGGAACTTCTAGAAAGCTCTAGAGTAACTTCCTTCCATTCCATTTTGTCATTTGAGTCTTTCATTAGACCCTGATGTGCTTTTGACCCTGGGTTTCTATGAAACACTCTATGTCCTTCCAGAAACTTCTCTTTAGCTTCAGGTAATTCAGGTACATTTTCCTTGCTGGTTAGCTGAGTGTCTTGACTGAGACTTGTTTTTTAATCAGCCCACACTGATCCACCTTCTGCTCTGACTCCAGATATGAGGTCTCTCTCTCAGCTGTCACATAGTCCCTTGACTTTTCAAAGTTGGGCTGTCCCATAGGCACCACGCCCTCTTTCTGGATCTAGCCCACTGCTGTTTTTTTTTTTTTTTTTTTTTTTTTAATCAACTTTGGGATTTTGGGTCTAGCATCTAGCACCAGCCAAAATGAAAATCACCAGACCACTTTGGTGCCAAGTGGTTGGGAGATCAAATGAAGTCCTGTCTTTTATATTTAAGGTAGTCACATGACTGAACAGAAAATATCCAGACTGCTTCTTTTCAGCATGCTGCACTCGGTGGTTTTAAGTAACCTGGGCCTTTTTAACTTCATTTAATTTAATTAAAAGATGGAGGAAGGGCCTCCTTACTGTGGTATAAGCATAATGGAAAGAGACGCTTAGTCAACGGGTTTTGAGTAGATGAAATGAATGGGGGAGCCTCTCCACCATGAGAAAGGGGAAACAGTTCAGGGAGCTGGAGCTTCTAGGAGAAAATAAAAGAAAATCCAATGACCACATAAGGCTTTTGTCCTTCCACTCTTGGATACAAAAAAATCCCTGACCATAATGGAGTGACCATATTAGACTGTGATTATGTAGCACAGAGGGCTCTAGCTGCAGGAGGTCTCCTGTTTGCATGCACTAAATGGCCTGTCCTGAAGAAGCTGAGTGCAGATGAGGACTCAGAGCTCCACAGGAAGGGGCTGGTGTAGGTCAGACCTCAACAGAAGGAAATAATTAAACAATCGCTTCCTAAAAACAGCAGACGGGATTGGGAGCTGGCCGTCTTTTCTGTTGTCACCCTTGGATTCTGCCCTTTGGTTGGTCACTTGGTAGTAATGTCGCATTCCAATCAAGGAAGGATCATCTTGCTTTCAATTTAGTCCCAATTTCTAAACAAACACAAGTTCTACTCAAAACGTGAACTGGAATACATGTTTCTCATTTTTCATTTTTTTTCCCCATGGCTCTGTACATGATGTCAAAATATTAACACTAGGACTTTTCTTCTTGATTGAAAAAGATCTGCCTGGATTTACTATGGGTTTCTAGATCCACATTTTAATTTTAATCTTAAGGGACTTCTAGACCCAGAAATACTGCAAAAATGTGGTTTGACTATAAGACTAAGGCAGGATTGGACTCCCTTCTTTAAGTACTTTCAATGCTTTAGAAGACTAATATTCAATTGTAATGTTCTCTCTCCTCTGTGAACCATCCTTTGTCTTCTACAAATGCTTTTTTTTAAAACATGAAATCACAAGAATGGCTTGGGGACCAAGAAACAATCCTTATCAGAAGTGAAGAATCTGTACTTGTCATCTAATGTCAAGACTTCAGGTTGCAGCATAACCCTGGGGAACTGAGCGGTGCCCTTAGCCTTCTGGATATTTCAGCAGAGAACTTTTGGATTTTAGGCTATGGGGTTTCATAGTTGAAAGTCTTTTTTTTTTTTGAGTGAAACTTTTTTTTTTTTTTTTTAAACAGAACATTTAAAATGGCTGTTCAAAATATAAAACAGATCAAAGTGGAGCTGCCCTGGTTGGAGGCATCTCAGAGGAAGTAATTAGAGGTGTGGATCTCCACCTGATCCTGGCCTCAAGGCACAGGTGGTGGAACCCCAGGGCACCAATGGAACACAAGCTAATGCCATCAGAGTTTTAATCAGTGCTTCTCAGACACAGTACAGGCCTCAGCACCTGAGGTTCCATGGTTCCAAGAAGCAAAGGATGAATCACTAATCTACATGGTCTCATTACCCAGTGCTGTGGTTCCCTTTCCTGGTCAATTCAATATTTTGTTCTGGACCTAATACTGTCTTGCAAGGGTGACACTTTCTGTTTATGAAAAATAAAACTGTATCAACGTTCACCTATCTTGGAGTTTGTTACTGACAAGGAAAGCTGCCTAGCCTGGGCCACAGTTCGCCCAGCAACAAAACGAGAACAAGAAAATGATCCCACAGACTACATTGGACTTTTGAGGAAAAAACAGATATTGTGTGAAGGCACATACATATGCGTCACAATTGCTCATTTTGGGCCTTGAAGTTGAACACCCTTTGTTAGTTCAGGAAACAATAAGGCAAATAGAATAGAGTTAACCAATCAATCCTGAAAATATAATAACCTTGAAGGAGATGAACTGTGGGGATGAACTAATAAGCAACTTAGGTTGTCACACTGGAAAGTGACCCAGCTCTACGTACTGTTTTGACATGGTTTGTCTCTGACTGCTTTTACTTCCAAGCCTGGTTTCTGGGTACATCTTTATATACTAAGTGTTAAATACTCACTTTTATTAAAAACATTGAGTCTTCATTTGGACCTACACATGTAAAACTCCTGGCATCTCTTTCCCCATTTTGCATGTGTCCCCTTGGCTCTGAGTCCGCAGAGCAAATGCCTCAGTGAATACCTCTGATGAACAGAAACCACCCCACGGGCCACAGCAGCTCCATGGTCATCATGAGCCTTTGGCCGATCCTCAGATAAGGATCCACCAGATCACAGTCCCGCACATGTCTGGTCTCCTTTGTCTATATAGCTTGGCAGTTCATGTCAGTAACTGCTGAAAATATGAGTCTTCCTCGTCTTCCCAGGATGGCCATCCTAGTTCACGTTCCTTCCCTGCTTCTCACCATTACTTTTTTGGATTGGTTTTTGGGTGGATGGCCAGATCTGATTCGTTGGGATTCCCCAGAGTTAGGCCTCTGGATTAGGACTCTAGTAACATTAGCGGCATAGTACTAATCACTTTTTATGCTTTATCTCATTTAATCCTCACACTGACTCATGGAYATACTATTGCTCCTCAGTTGTAAAGCAGGTTGACATCTGAGAAGGTTTGGCTGACTTTCTCCAAATCTTACACTAGGTGAGATGAGTCTTTGTCATGAGATTTTGGTTCCAAAGCTCAYGACACTAAGGGGTTGACATACGAGGTCTCTTGGTGAGTAATGAGGATCAGAAAAATGGCCTGGAGAATCTCGACAGAGAGTTCCTTAATGGAACATGGATTTCTATGCTTGCAAAGAAGAGCAAAAGGAGAATTGTCAGCTAAGTATCTGGTAGAGTAGACCYATCTCCAGGCCCCCTGACCACTCAGCTCTGGCGGGAACCCAGCGGCTGTTTGCCTCCCCCCATCTTGGGTGATTCTGCAGTTCTTGTTCCTGGGTGACCTACAACTGGAGCACTCACCAGTGGAGACGCTGGCCGAGGTCGGGGGGCTCCGGGCTTGTTCTTTCAGGGCCACCACATTGACAATGTATTCCTCCCCAGGCTTTAGCCCAGTCTGGTTAAAGGAGGTGACGTCACTTGGAAGCTGAGCAATCACTCCTCCTTCATTGTTCTGGAGAGCGAGCGGGAAGGAGCAGAGAAAGGAAAAGAGAGAGTCACCAGGAGTGAAATCAACGAGAGAAGGACAGGGAACACTGACTTGGGAACTCGAAAGTAAAAAYGGGGGCTACCTCTGCTTCCTCCAGGCTGACAGAGGAGAGTCCRGGGCTAGGAACAACTCCCAGCAGGCTCGGTGAGAACCGATTTCAAGAACATCTCTTTGGCTTCTCCTGAGTTTTTAAGTTTGCCAATAAAAATTAGTCATTCATGAGGTGATGCAGATTGGCTCTTGCCAAAGACTGAATGTTCAATGGTTACAGGTAACATCCATCATTTTTTTTTTTTTTTTTGTCATTTAGTGTTACGAGCCTGCCTTTGGCTGTTTAGAAGAGTACAGTTGTGTGTAAACATCTTTATAATATCCACAACGTATTTCAAACTAAGATATTCCCAGATTTTTTTTAATGAGCTGGGGCTATTATTTGGCTATATCTGGAATTTCTCATGGTGCTACAAAGGGTGAAAATCTATCAGTGTCATGTTTCCACCTCACCCAGMTGAGTTAAGACTCAGAGACATAATCGTGAAGTACCAAAAAAAGAAAGAAAAGAAAAGAAAAAAAGAGAGAAAGAAAAAAGAAACACGAAACAAAGAAAAATACAAAGGAGAGTGGTAGAAGACAAATAGGTGGAAAGGAAATGAGAAAGGAACTAGATGATATTGGGTCCAGAGTCTAATATCTATCTACCATCTACCTATCTACCATCTATCTATCTACCTATTATCTATCTATCATCTRTCTATCAATCAATCATCTGTCAKCTATCTAKCTATCATCTACCTACTATTAATTAGGTTTTCCATGTGTGTGACCTTGGAAACASAGGGGACAAGAGGGCCCCCTTTGAGACACTCCCCTTCTTCCCTATTCTTTCATCTCAGTTTATGTCACCTCRAGTTCCCTGTACGTCACTTATAGCCATACTTTTGTAAATCAACGTGATAACCCTCCCACAGCCTGTGACTTCTGCCTACAGAGGCTGAAGAGGTTATACTCCGCTGCCATGCATTGGATCTTGGAATGCCCTGGTCAGCCCCTCTTTTATTTAGAGTTTCACATATTGTATGTAGAACAGGAGAATCTGGCACAATTTTCTTTTCTTGCTTGGGCAGCAGAGTAACATGATCTTTCTGTTTTCTTTTAAACTCAGTTGCTTTCCATTGATCATTGGCCATTTTAACTCAGATCATTTATACAATAATAGATTTGCATAGAAGGACTGTTAGGAGCATCTGGCTTGCCATGATAGGACTACATCCCCAAAAGAGTTTGGTGGGCAGAGCCCCGGAGCAGGGAGCTGAGACTAAAGTTTTTGTCTTAAGCCTGGTACTAATTAGGGATCTTATGTCATCTAAGTTCTCTGAATCTTCGTCTCTACACACTGAACTAAATTAAACAAAATGTGAAATGTGGGGTCTTAACTCTGCGAACTTGGAGATCATCTGTAGCTCCCACAGTCCACGATGTCAAGAATGTGGTGGTAAAAGAATGGCAAGATCATAGTCTAGTTCCCCCCAATGTGTCATTGGCATTCAATCTGAAGAAGTCTGAAAGGTGCTCTTTCCTGTTGAAGGACAGGGACAAAGGGACGGATATGGATGAACTTTGTCCCCTCAGGTGTGGTGGTCAGGGACAGCTAGGCAGGCGTCACGGCAAGCCGGAAATGGTTTTAGGATTAATAAAGAAATAAGTAAGCTGCTTTACCTAGTAGAGAGGAATCTTAGGTACTTTTAAACTCACAGACTGAGCATGTAATTTGCTTAAAGAAAAGGTTGCCTAATTAATAGGTCATAACTTCATTCTGAGTAACTGGGAGAACCAGGGCATTTCTGCGAGGCCTCTAACCTCTGGGGACATGAGCTGACACGAGCTGACAGTTAGTCCATCTGTTTGTACAGAAAGAATCCGTGGAACCCGAAGCTGGTTCCACTTGGCCCCCGCTTTTTGATGGCCCAGTTTCCTAGCCACTAACATGGGACYCTCCAAACCCTGGAAGTGTCTCAGCAGGAGCTGCAGCGGCTTTCCAGGTCCCCCCTGTACAGACCAGGGGCTCTGCTCGTGTCCTCAGCTCTTGGTGACAGGAGCCTTCTGCAGCCCAGGCACCCACTTAATGCCCTCTCATGTCTCTACTGGCCTRGAGCGAGACCCTGGGCAGTGCTGCCCTGCTGCCCTGCTCCCCAGGTGAGGCCCGAGCCGAGGGAGGCTGCGGGRCAGCCTGGAGGGCAGCCGGTGTTACCTTTGGGATGAAGCTGATCTCCCACCCATCGAAGGAGAACGAGAAGGGCTCCCACTGCACCTCCACGGTCGTCTCCGTAATAGTCTTGAATTGCAGCCCTTGAGGAGTGGAGAGATCTGGAACACAGCAATGTGGGTGACAATGTCACGGCTGTCCCTGGCAGGGACAGAGAGCAGTGCCTGGCTCTTGTCTTGTGAACGCCCTCTATGCTCTGGGTGTGGTGGCCTGTGGCAGGACCGCCCCATCCTACCGCAGACACAGTGTGTCCTGGTGCAGATGGGCGCACTGCCCTGGGGCTCTGGGGCTCTGTGTTGGTGCAACACAGGAACACACTTGACGAATGCAAAACTTTTTTTTTGTGCTTTCTATTACATAATAGAAACTGTTAATGTTAAATATAAAAGTCATGTTTTCCTTTCCTTACTAATGTGATAAATCTTGGAATGGAATAAAAAGCCTTTTTCGGAGAACTCGAACACTATCTTTGGAAGCGGTACAGGATTCCTGGGAGGCAGTATTGTGCTAAGCCCAGTGTTCCTACCTCGTTCACAGGGAAAGGAGGCAGAGAAGGTTTGGTTAAAGATGTGGAGCTTCAGAAGGAAGCCCGGGGTTCTTCTCCTGACCATCTGATGTGCACTAAACGTATTTTAGGGAGCGCAAATCCCTAAATTTAGGACAGTCTGAATTTTCATTTTGTGTACACAAGCAGAACAAAGGCGTACACCAGCTCTGCTCTTATTTCACTTTCTCCAAATTTCCTCCAGCTGCTCCTTCCGTATTCTCCTCTCTCTCACTCCCTTCGGCCTCACTTGTCTAACTTTTGGCTCTATCTTAATCTCCTCCCTTTCTCCCCCCAACCTTTCCCCCCAGCCGCACATACACACACACATGCACGGGTTCAGTGGGGTGAAATATGCTCGTCCTAATGGAGTTCCAGTTACCAGCCCTGAAATATGACAGCACAACTTCTCTCAATTCTCCAGGGCTCCGCTCCCATTTCAGCTTCAMCTCTCCTGGGCTATTCCCGTTGGAAAATTGACAGATTCTCATCTTTCCCATSGGGAAGCTTCCTGGCTGATAGGCGGGGCTGGTTCTGAACCCACTTGAAGGCATGTCAGGCGCCTTTACATGATTTTGTCCTTGTCACCTGGGAGCGTGCCTGCAGGGATGCCCTGAATTGGCACCACCACCACCACAGGGGCTGGAAACCTCATCAGTGCCTGTACACGTGGATCAGCGTGGGGACGCCTGGGAGCCGGCCAGCACTGGGGGTGGTGACTCATCCTGGAGCCAGGTGGGAAAAGCAACAGATGGTGACCTGCCTCCACGGATCACTGCAGATATTTAAAACTAGTTCACAGGCACCAGAGGAAATGGGGGAAAAAAGGTCAACTATAAACAGATAATTATAGGCATATTAACAGAGTCAGCATTTGTGAGAGTCCAGTATTATCCCAGGACTTGGGTCACCTGAGAAGCCAGGGGGCAAGACGACTTCTGCAATCCTGCCCTGCTGCTAGTCCCTGTCCTTGCCTCTTTCTAAGCTCTGCTCCCGTCCTCAGGCTTCTGTGAAGCCTTCAGGGCCAACTCTTTATACCTTGACCTTTTTTTTTTTCCTCTGGAACTTCACGTCCTAGAGCCTTAACTTTCACAACTAAAGTGAGCCATGAAGATACGGTGTTATATCCAACATGGTAGCGCCTGCTTGCCATCCAGGCGACTTGGGAGGCTGAGGCAGGAGGATTGAAAGTCCGGGGCCAGGCTTGGCAGCTTAGAGACACCCAGTTTCAAAATACAAATGAAAAGGGCTGGGGGTGTGGCGGAGGGGTAGAGCTTGCCTAGCATGTGTGAGGCTCTGGGTTCCATCACCAGCCCCACAGACACACACACGCCAAGATGTTCTGCTAAACATCATAAAGAAATGCTGCCACCTCTGTATGAGAAGTGGATGCTGTCGCTGTGGTTTTAAACAAGGAGTTTTTCTTTCCCTCTGCTATGTACTTGCCCTGGGGAACATGCCATCTATTGGCAACTTGCTTATTGTTCTTCCTATTTCCTATCTCCTGGTTTGGGATCCTAACTGTATTCAAGGTCTGTATAAGTCTCATTGGGTCCATGGCTTCCAATTTGAGTCTAGCTTCTAACCAGTCAGTACTCAATGATTAAGTACTTTTTGTTCTTTGGGGTTTTATAATTTACGGAAGCTGCCTGAATTTGGAAATTCTCTTAATGGGAAGTGCCTGTTTAAAGACACACCCTTTTCTAAGTGGGTCAGGTCTGAAGCCCTTCCCCTCAGGAGCCGAAGACGATTGYAGGCGTCCCTGGAGAATTCAGAAAAGACACCACTACCATGAATGCCCATGATCTCAGGTGGGAGGAAAGAAAAATGCAGCAGGAGGGGGGAATGGTACGTACGGGTGGCCACCTTGGCAGTGATGGGAAGGCTGGGGATGTTGCTAATGACAGCGTAGACGCTGATGTTGTAGGTGAGACCTGGCTCCAGCTCCGTGATGGTGACACCACTCCAATCTCCAGGCACCCGCTGCTGGAGCTGGAGGCCCCCCCGGGCCGTCGGCTGGTAAGAGATCACATATTCCGTCACTGCCATCGGCCCGTCCCATTCCAGCTCAAGGGACCTGTCGCTGATCCCAGCCACTCGCAAGTCCTCTGGAGGGGCCACTACCGGGAGGCAATACACAGACAGCGTGAACTCAGAGGATTGCCTGCCCCACCCTGGACTCAACGCTCTTCCTCGCCTGTCACCCCCCACGCCACCTCCACAGGGTCTGCAGGCTCAGCGGACCGAGTGATTTGTCACAGCGTCACCTCCTTTCTGCACTGAGTTATCCCAACCTCCGTGAGGCTGTGAGTTAGTGGTGTTCTGGAGCTGGCTTCTTACTGGCTTGTAAAAGTCAGTCATCAAATCTTCCGGAATTTCACAAGATGGTTAGATACGACCGTTATGAAAGGTGAAACTTTAAAAACTTACAGTGAAGCAAATTGCATTAAAAACAAAGGTCGTAAGTATTCACTTTCAAGTCGTTTCACCACGTCTTCCTATCATCTAGGCCCCCTGAGTGACATTTGTGTGTTCCATCTCTCTGGTGGAGATTCTGTGTGATGTGTCTATTGCGTTTCCAGTGTCCGGTGGAGTGACCTCATGTCGGTGGTTTGAAGTTGGCCACACGGGGAGTGTTCACACCATGGAAACGGGTCAGAGCAGAGCCTCAGTTTTTTTGGTTTTCTCATCACAGATCCAGTTGTTAGATATTTCATAACACATCGCTGGCCAAAAGTGTTGGTAGTTTACTAAGTTACTGTCATCAGATTGTCCTGACAGCCAATGTCTGAGTGTACAAATGGGTAGCTAAAGACTTCATTCCTTGTTATCTTACAAATTAAGACCCCAAGACAGGAAGCCTTGTACACTATGGTCTGATAAAGACATTTARTGGCTCCTTCTCATAGCATTTTTTTTCCTTTTAAAAAAAGAAAGTTTTGGAAGAAATGTAACATATTAAACTAATTTTCATTAGCCTTGACCTTGGAGGTGACGATCAAGAAGCCTTCTTGAGAGCTGTGCTTTTCTCTCTTGTCTGACTTCCCAAATGCTACTCAGAGTCACCAAAGGTTAAACCACATTGAAAGAGCCTTTCAAGTCTGGTTCCCTTGGGAAGTGAAGATTCACCAGAAGTGTAGACATCAAATAATTGAAACTTTAAGACTAATTAGAGGATAACTCCAGTGCTTCTGTAATTGGACCTGCTCGGAGATTAAATCAAAGATCAGGCCAATACTTAAATGGTCATAATTAACCTATACATTCGTAGGTAGTGAAGGGTTTGGTTGGTTTAAGAATTGCCATTGGTTTTGAATTTCTTCTCTGGGTAATCTCTACCTTTCACCTTTACAAGCCAGAGGTCTAGGCCAGCTGCTTTTCATACCTGCCTCCTTGTGCTCACACGTGAAACCTCAAATCCTCAGCCAGGGCAGAAGTGAGGAGCCCTTTGACCCAGACCCACAGGAGGGAAATTAGCAGCATTTATCTGCAGTGCTGGATATTGGCTTTGATTGCATTTGATCAAAACCATTCATCGTATGAAAATCTAGAGAGCCGAGCTTCCTCTATCAGAACCAAAACAAAAATTTAAAATTTATTTTTAAAAATGTACAAAATTGAAGAGGTGCAAACGATATTTAAACAATTTAACCTTCCAATGATACTGCATAAACTTGCATCGTTGATAACTCTGACATTATTGAAGATGTGAACTGCACTGAGACGTTCAGGGCAGCCTGTATGGAACGGCTCCTGGGCCCAGGGAAGGACTGATGAGAAGCTGTCAGTATTTGGCACCGTCACACTGAGAATTTATTACACACCAGGCCCAGTGCTCACTGCTCCAACATGGATTATCTCATTTGACCTCTTACCAACACCACGGAATAGGTGTTTTCATTACTTCTATATTATAGGGGAGGAAAGTGGGCCACACAGGGGACAGACACAGAAGCTAAGATTAGAACCCAGCCAGAATGACTCTAGAACCTCTGAGCCCAAATGCAATTCCAGTTTCCATGTACATGGCATTTCACAACCTAGAGAACATGCCACACACACCATCTAACTATTTAAAAAATCCGTTGACAGCAGCCAGTAAGGTAGTCCAAGGAGCTATAATTATTTCAACTTTACAAAAGAGGAATCTAAGGCCCGGGTCAAGGCCTGTGTCAAATCAGGAGTTGGGCTGTAGGTAGCAGAACTGATTGTTCAGCCTGAATCTTCTATGGTTAGAGCTCTTTCTCCCATGATTTAAGGAGTAGAATGTGGATTGTTCTCCATGCACCATCCCTCCAAGTAGAACTACATGAGAAGCAATCCAGACAATTGTGTAGGATGTGCTCTCCAGAATCGTGCTCATCCTGGAACTAAGAAAACCCCTTTTTAAAAAGTTATTTGGAGCATGTCTCTTGTGATTCAGCATGTTGTTCCCAAGTTTCTTTTGCAGGACATTTTTCTGTCACAGGGACAAAAAAAAAAAAAGGCCATTCCAAATTTCAAGTCACCAACAACTCTTAGGGCCTATGGGACAAGTCAGTGTATTCCTTTCTGGTTCTCTCTTCTAGAAAATAAAGCTAAGCGTGACAGKGAAGGGTGATCTGAGCAGGTTGTTTTAGAATTGTTGAGTGAACAAGAGGGGCAGAAGAAGATTTATCTCAGCCGCTTAGCCTGAGGCCTGAGCCTGGGGGGAAACACTTCCTTCACTTCCCGTGGAGGAAGAGCAAGGGGTGTCTTTCAGGGTAGCGTACTTCTTTGAGCAGTGGCTCASTGGGGGACAGCATCGCTACTTGCCCTGTAAGTGAGCAGCAGCTGTGTCCTTTGGGAGCCAGTAGTCGTTGCCAAGCAAGACAATGTGGGGTTACAAAGCACATTATCACGGAGACTCAAGCCTTGAGTTGATGCATTTGTGGTGGGGAAAAGGCATTCTCAGCCTAACTTTCTGGAGTTCCAACTTTGAAACTTAGGGAAGAGCAGGCTGCTAAAAAGGAAGAAGTGGTGATTGTCTGCACAGCGCCCACGCTGCTGACTTTTTTCCAACCTCACGTCACTTTTGCACTTAGGTGGTGAGAGCAGCTGGAACCAGTCCAYGTGGTGTCTTGCTCTAAAACGCAAGGGGTTTCGGGTGCCAAAGGCAGGGCTGGCTGCCGTCCTGACAGAGGCAGGGGCTGATGTTGACAAATCTTTGCAGGCCCGACTGAAGTCTGGGGAGCATCTTTCTGGATTATTTCCAGAGCCTGCTCCCTGCTTCGCCCTGGCTCCTAGGGAGATCAGGACCGCTCACCAGCTAGCTTCTGCTCTGGCTGCCATCACTGGGGAAGATGCAGACGCATGGTCCCAGGTACTTCTTCGCCCCATCTCTCTAATACCTTGATTTCTAAACATTTAAAAGGGCTCAGCTTTTATATTGAAAGGTCACTTCTTTGTGGCTGTGGCTTTACAATGAACGTTTCTCAACTCTGTCTACTTAGCAGTTCAGAGAAGATTAAAGAGGGCTGGGTTCTCGTTCTTATTCTGCCATTAATGAGCTGTCTGGGAAAGTCTCTCTCTCTCTCTGGACAACTGCTTTGAAATCTGTCAAATGAGAAGGCAGGAGTAGCTTCTATATAAGGCAAGTCTTAAGTGCTCATATTCAGGAATTGTTTGTTCTATTATCTACACATGTGCAGAGAATAGAGGCAAAGAGCTTGAGATCCTGTCCCATGGTGCACCATGAGCAAAAATCAAGCCGAGGAGTCAAACGCAGTGGCCTTGCTGCCAATATTCAGTTGTGTTCCAGCTCCGGGGACCCAAGCAGCCTCAGAATGAAATCCACACAATGGACAGCTCTTCTCCATGCCCTTGCCAAGGAGAAAGCGGTGACCTCTGAGGGAGTGTAGCCTGCGACTCTTCATTACCCACCTTCCCAACCCTTCCCTCTCCTCTGTGCTCCTCGAGGCGGTAGGAGCAATACTGCTGTTGTGTGTGCACCTGGCCAGAAATGTCAAGCAGGGGATAAATAGCCCCCCTCCGACAGCCTTTTCACAAACAGCAAGCCAAGGAGCCCTTGAGGAGTGACCTAGATTCCTCTCTGGCAGAGACCTGTGGCATTTGGTTTTAAAGGCAAGCTTTAAGAGCAGTACTTCAGGCAATGAGAGGTGGTTCCAGGGTTGCTATAGAAACAGATGGAGATTATGCAACTGTCCTTCCTCACATGTTTTGGGAACCTGTTAAGTGATTTATCTGGGCCTACAGAAGTCTTAAAGCAGCATAGAAGTAATGTGTGTATGGTTTGGACTCAACCAAGTCATAGGAATCCTGACAGTTACTGAGTCTTCCCGGAGGTGACCAGGAGGGCTCGTCTCCAATGCATTTTGGACCCTGGATCAGATCAAGCTTTTGTTTGTGAATGGACCCATCCCTGTAGAAAGACAGGTCAAGAACACGAGGGCAAGGGCAGACATACAAACACTGAGTCTATTACAAGTTGTGTATGGGATAGAATACCCTCAACACAGCAATGGCCAGAAGTGACCCGGAGTACCCTCCAGGTGGGGCTTAGCAGAAGCTCATCCTCTGGGTGGAAACTAAGTTATGCTTTGTCCTTGCTGTCCAGAAACTGCCTGGTGACTTTAGATTCAGAAACAATGAGGCTTAACTTGTGTCTGAATTTTGCTTTGGAACAATTGATACGATGACCATATTTGTAGAGCGACATTCCAGTTCAGTAAACAAAATTGAGAGACTAAATGAAATGAGTAAAATCAGAAAAAACTTAATGTAGAAAAAAAATTCTCCTAGGCAGTGGATTATCTTTTTTTTTAAAATCTTTCATCATTGCCATTGATCTTGCAAAAGAATGTAACTTGAAGTCACATGGAGGGAAGTTGGGTCTGCCACAGAGCGGAGTGTCATTGAGGATGCTGAGGAGCAGGAGGCTGGTACAGCCAGTTTCCCAGGATTTCTCCTTTAGAAAACTCCTGGAATTGCTCAACCAGGAAGTTGKAAAATGTTTGTTGTGATTTCTGCTTTTAAAATTTCCCAGTGGGCATCCCGAGCTTTAAATGGACAGGATCAATTGCTAATCTGTGCTGTTTAAAGCACAAATAAATGTCTCAGCAATACTCACTGATTAACCAGAGGAGGATGAACAAAAGGGAGACAATGAAAGTAACCTGTTTTGGGCAAAATATATTTTTAAAAAATCAACCCTAATGAAATATTGATATCTTTCTCACTGTTGGATTGAGAGTTCCACTTTCAGATGCCCCCTGTCCGTCTCTAAGGTATGGATTATATTTGGGGTGAGATTTGTGCCGTAGTCATCAGCAACAAAATGAGCCCCCTCCTTTYAATATTCTGTACTAATCATCGGGATGTCGCTGTTGCTGGATGCCTATAGAATTTTTTTTTTTTCCTATTTACGTTTGATTTCTTGCCTGCACTTTTCTGCTTGTAGGCCCTCGGTCATTTCATGAATCAATAACCCTCGCCATCTGCAAGCTCCAAGGTGAGCGGAGATCCTCATAGACTGGCTCCGGCCCCCTGAGGAGCTCTGTAAAAGGAGGCAGCCTGGGACCATGGCGTCAGGCCTGGTAGCCGCGGGTGAGCAGGTGCCTGCTCCATCTGCTGTGATTTGGGTGTGGTCTGGTTGTGTCCCCCAARGGCCCCCAGGTGGAATTTGTACTCATTATGATTGAAGAAAGTGGAAGCCATCTGACTGTGGTGTCCAGAGGTGGAGGTTTTTTTGGGGGGTGGTTAGGGTAGATAAGGGCCATCAGGGTGGAGCCCCAGGACTGAATCCTGGTGGCTTTGTGAGAAGAGACACACGTGCGCTCTCTGTCTCTTGCCAGGTGACACCCTGCATGCTCCTGGACYCTGCCAGCAGGAAGGCCCTTGACCTTGGGCCTCCAGAACTGGGAGCCCAAATAAGCCTCTTCTCCTTATAATTCAACAGCCCGTGGGATCCTGTAATCAGTGACAGAAAACAGACCCGAAGCCTCCCCTGGCACCGCAGGGACAGTGGGGTGTCATGGCTGTTAGGAAGTTGCCTTTGTTAGAGTCGGGGGTAAAGACCCGCCTCTCAGCCTGAACTTGACCTTTCCTAAGCCCCCTTCTGCCTCACCAACTGTTATTGACTCGGAAAATCAGCTGTCTTGGAAAGCAAATGACTACAACCCGACCRAGAACGACCTTACCTAAAATCCACCTTCCCTCCCGCACCTGTTTCCAATCTCCCCGGAGGTGTCCAGTTAGTGTGCTGGACCCGCCCTGCCCAGCCTCCCGCCCAGCTCCCCTTCCTACCTGCMGAGCAGTCAGGGCCCTGGTAGCCCTCTTCACAGACGCAGAGCCCCTCCTGGCAGTGCCCTCGCCCGCTGCAGGCATTCAGACACCGCCGCTGGCCGCAGTCCTCGCCGACGTAGCCCTCCTGGCACAAACAGGTGCCGTTGGCACAGGTCCCCTTCCCCGAGCAGTCGCCGGGGCACCTCAGCTCCCCGCAGTCCTCGCCCGTGTAGGGCTCTTCACAGACGCACTCCCCGTCCACGCACAGCCCCCGGGAGCTGCAGTCCGTGGGGCACCGGAGCTCGGAGCAGTCGTCCCCGCTGTATTCGCTGTCACAGATGCACTGGCCGTCCACGCACACGCCCCGRCTGGAGCAGCCCAGCGGGCAGTAGGGCTCTGAGCAGTTCTTGCCAAACCAGCCTTCGTGGCAGATGCAGCCGCAGGACTCCAGGCTAAAGTTGCCGTGGCCGCTGCAGTGGGGGATGTAGTCCAGTTGTCCTGGAATGGTCAAGGAGAAGGTCAAGGGCAGCAGCGGCCTCTCCTATAAATGGTCAAGGTGGGGAGATAGGCAGAGACCTCTAGTGATCTCTGRTCAGATTTGTGTTGCTAAGAGTTAAGCTCCACATAGTTTGGGACACTATCAATTTCATCACGATTTTCAGTTGTTATGGTGCCTGATGCTAGCACAGTGCTGGGGGCCAGGATGAAGGAGATCTGATCCTCCCCCTGGAGCTCATCTTCAGGGTGCCTCAGATTGGGGTCACTTCATTAGGAGTGGACTTTAGGTGAAGATTCATGTAAAGGTCACTTATTGGAAAGTACAGAGTGGGAAAACCTGGTAGGGGAGAGGGGCAGATCAGAAGGGAGGGCAGGCAAACTATCAAGCAATGTCCCAGGGAGACTGACTTGGCTTCAACCCTGCAGGGTCACGCCGCATTGAGGATTGGGGGCTGTCCCCAAGGGCAGTACATTTCAGGCCTCTAATTCTCTCTTTGGGCAGGTCCAGGGATGCCAAGAGATTCAGGATGGTCCTGTATCAAAGATGCTCACTCCGTTATTGGCTGTGGGGACTGAAAGGGATTGGTGGGGAGTGCCAGCGGGTGTGGGCTGAGCACTGGGTCAGCGGGCAGAGGAAGACGTCCTGCCTGCCATCAACTGACAGTTCATTCATCAAAGCTCAGCATCAGGTGGCTTCCAAGTCTTCCAGAGTCCCCAGCCCCACTCACCCTTTGCTGCAATCCTCTGGATTCTTTGCRTATCCCTGTCCTGACCCTTGCTGTGGTATAGCTACAGTGGTTAATTGATCTGTCTAAACAAACTCATTAAGCACACACACACCAAGTACCTGCTTGGCATCCTTGTCTGCACTGGACCCTGAGGATGTGAAGTCTAGTAAAGTCACTCTGCTGCTTCATGYACTCCCTGTGGCCTGAAAAGATACTACACTGACATCGCTCAACAGCTCTTCCTCGTATGATTTTTCCCATCTGCCAGGAATCCTGGTAAAAAGACCACTTTACAGAAGCCACCCTGCACCTTGAGCAGCCAAGAGACCGTAGAAACCTATGACATTCCCCTGCTCTGCACTCCACTGGACAGATGAATGACCCATCAGTTCTCCCAAAGAACAGGGGACTGAGCGACGGAGCACCCCCCTTCTAGCCTTCAGCTMTTTGTCTCTCGTGTGGATGAGGGAGAGGAGAAGGAGCTGAGGAAAACCCATGAAATACTTCATTACTCAAAAGCTGCCCCCAGTCTTGCTGTGACCGGGGGACTATGGGACATCCTCTGTTAAAACTGCACTCCACTCTCATTCCAAGGAGGCCTTGAGATACGGAGCCCTAGAAGTGGACACTGGCACCCAAGATAAGGTAACAGATGCCCCTGCTCATCAAAGAAGGGAAATGCCTGGGTCTGAGGTGCCCTGAGGTGAGAACAGATGGGCACAGAGCTGAGCGGGCTGAGCTGATAATAGCTCCACTTACGTGGGGCCCACCAGAAGCCAGTCTGTGATATTTAATGGCCCCTTGTTCTCGTTTGGATGATAACCCTGTAGATGTGGAAAGGGAGGCACAGCTATGCAACTTACTTTGTTTGAAAGCTTGGAAGCAGCACAGGTAGGATTTGAATTCAGGAAGTCTGGCTCTGGATACTTCACCAGGCTTTGCAGAGAGGTACAGGTAACAACTTGTAAGTGCTACTAGTTAGCAGGCAGGCAGAGTGAGGCATAAATCCTCAGAGCATCTGCCCTTTTGGAGGGCGGGATGAGCTGTGTGAGCGTGTGTGCATGTGTGTGTGCACAGGCATGCGTATTTGTGGAGGGAGCAGGGTTAAAGAGTCCATCCTGCTGGAGAAGATGCGGACAGGTCCTCTGAGACCTTAATGACTATCATTTATTCCGATGGGAGAAAGGCTGCGATTGAGTGAACACAGCGCCTGCCTTCTCTAGTCCCTCAGGTGAACATGAATAGATATCAATTCAACAGCCTGTGAAGACCAAAGATGAATGAAGACAGACATCAAATTCCCTGCTTGCCGTCCAAGTTGCTGTGCTGAGCCGTTGTACCATTACCTGACTCATCCCCCCAAAATCAGGTTAATGTATTTCAAACTGGCTAAGCAGTGTTGAGAATCCCTGAGCTGAATCCCTGGGGACGGGCTGYGTTTAGATCTCACAGACTCACTCGGCAGGCCCGAGCCACGGATGAGGGTACTTTTTTAAGATGCAGAGTTTGCTCCCTTCCTTCACCTCCCTCTCGTCCCCCACCTCCCGGCCCAGACTCTACCTGTGGCCGCGCTTTCTTGACAGCAGTTGGTGGCACACTGGTCCCGCAGCACTGACACCTCCCTCTCCAGCATCTCGATCCGGCTCAGCAGCTCCTGCAGCACCTGGGCGGAGCCGGCACACGGGCAGGCCTTTTTGGGGAGGTTGATCCTGTGGGTGAAGGTGACCTGGCTCTCGTGGTCCGAGGTCTGCCCTGTGTACTCTGCCAGAGTCTCGTCTTCCGCGCTCACCTCCTGCTCGGCCGAGGCCTCTAACCCCGAGGAGCAGAGGCTGTCCAGGGGTACGTTAATGTTGTACACGTGGTTGAAGACCATGGGCTGCTCTTTGCTGGATGTGCTGTAGTTGCCCATGCCTCCTTCGTCCTCCACTGCCTGCCTCTGGACCCTTTCCGTGGTCACCTCCAGCTGACACTCTGAGGGCTTGAGCATGGAGCCCAGAAGGATCAGGTTGACACCGATGAGCATATTCTTCAGGACCACTGTTTCCCCATCTGCCCCCATTCTCTCAGCCAGAGCTCGTTCAAGACCAGCCTTCAGCACACGGCATGGAGTTGTGGGAATCTGCAAGAGAATCCAAGGGCCAATGCAACCTCTGAGACCTGCGCCTTGGTGCCACCACTCTCCCTAGTCCTACAAAGCTGAAGTAGGGGCAGACAAAGATTCTGGCAGGCCCTGAGGAGGGACAGTGGATGCCCAAGCCAGAAAGTCCCAAGACTTTGTTCTTGGAGGACTGGATCTCTGAAAATGGATACTGCTTTTGCATGAGACTGTTCTGGCCTAGAACTTAAGGACTCTGGCCCCCATGGCAGGAAAGTTTCTCCTAGAAGACATACCCGGGCTGGGAGCGGGGGCTTTGTGGATAGAAGGTTCCTCTTAGGAGAGCTCAGACCTTCCTTCCCTTCTGGTTGAGGATTAGATGAAGTGGGCCACAGTTCCCCTAGATACCTATCAGGAAAGGGCCCCACGAGCCACTTCAGAGAACTTACTAACTCCTTTAAACTCACCTCTTCAGCACAGGTTGACTTTTGTATAACCAACCAGGCAAATAATACAGTTCCAGGTAATTGTAATTGTTAATTATCATTGGGTACACTTGTGATTATCTGGGACTGTGTGAGCCCAACTTTCTTTTAATCATCTCATTAGTATAGTTCCAGCGCTCTGTGACCACAGGGTGCCTTTCTTCCAAGGTCCTGTTGAAATTGCTAAAATAATAAATTACCTCCTCTGTTGGTTACCTAGTCACCGGGAACCAAGGAGTACAATAAATTCACAGTAATGAAAATCTGTTTTACAAAAACTGTGTTCCCTTTTTATTTCCTATGTAAAAAAAAAAATAAAAGAGACTTACAAATTTTCATTCTGAAGGTTTAGAGCTACCAAGAAGATTAAGGACTTGGGAACCTAGTGAGAGTAACTGTGAGTCTGAGGAGAAGGTAGCAGAGGGCACGGAAGGCGCACGGTGCATGGACCGTGCGCTGTATCTCACTCACCCCTCAGGGCAACGAACCCCAGCACTTGACCATATACTTATCTTGCACTGGAGTGATTTCTGCCTGGACAGGTTAGGATTTGCAGGCAGACCAGACTGACGTCCAAACCCGTGTTCTTAACTGCTGGATTCCAGCACCTTTCTCGAAAAGGGAGTTCAACTCTATCTTGTCTCTGAGAGAAATGGTGGCACTTGTAGAATCTTCCCAGAAATGCTGGATTTTGATTGGGCCTCATTCAGTGTTCCTTCCTCCACTAAGCATCCTTCTCCATCTCTTCCCTGCTCTGCTCCCCCAGTGTAGGCTGAGTTAGCCCCCATTATTCCACAAGTCCCCTTCTAACAGCACTGAGGGTGCAAGACTGGGCCTCCTCGGCTTGCATCTCCCCATCTGGACTGCCAAAGCGACTGGGACCAGCCTGAGTCTTATCTGCAGCCCGTGACAGTGTCCAAGACAGGGAACGTGCCCAGGGTGTGGTGGTGAGTGAGTGGATGGGCAGTCGTATGAAAGGCTGAACAAACAGATGAATGAGTGAGCAAGTGCTCAGTGGGCAGAAGGGTGGCTCCTTCTCCAGTTCATTTGATCCCTCCYGCTTAACCCCAGTCACGCGCTGTTCTCTTCAGTTTCCACTCTGAACGACGACTGAGGTTGGTTGAATTAGGAGCGACATGTATCACTGACAACCACAGAAACCCCCTCTTCTTACTCAGCCTGTAGGTTGTRTGTTGGACTGTGGCCCATCTCGGTTTCCAATATGGAGAGGAAGCAGAAGACCAGGACYGTGGAGACCACAGGCTCCTGAGCCAGCTGCCCAGGCTTGGGCCTCAGTCCCTTCACTTTATAGCTGTGAGGAGATCCCTTACCMTCTCTCTGCCTCAGTTTCTCATATACAGAGGTAATAATGGTACCTACCTTAAGGAGTAGGAGTGACGACTGAGTTATTATCTGTATAATTCTTATTAAYTAAAATAAATATGGTTTGCAGACAGGTAGAATGTTTTTTTCTGGTTCTTCTCTTTTTCAAGAACTGCCCTAAAACTGCTGGAMTATATGAAATGTCCTATCTATTGGGGGACATCAGAAAAGACTGCTCCTTAGCATGACCTTGTGGAAACACTGAGTGTTGTGGGAGATGGAGAGCCTCCTTCACATTCAGGTGAGGTAACTCTACCTGGGGGGCAGGTGGAGGGTGGCATCTGAACCAACTGCCCTTATAAGCTCTCCCACGCCCCCTCCCGTCACAGCTCTACCTGCCTTCCTGATTCCCCGTGTTCAGGCATTACGTCCCCAGAGAGTCACTTCTGCCCTCCTGTTATTGAACCTTTCCAGGAACGGCTCTGCCCTCCGTCATTTACACATGGGAGGGGCCTTGCTGTCTCTCCTATTGGATTAAAGTTTGTTTATCTGATCCATGTTGATATTACTGAACAACTTTTTTTCTTGTGGGAATTATCACACAATACTCTGTAGTACTTAGTGCAGATTTCTGCACATAGTTGATACTCAATAAATAAATAATAACGTTATAAATGAAAAGGAAGACAAGTGACAGGCAAATCAAGAGGGAAAAAAAATGTTAAGTCCCACACTTTGATCCCAAACAACAGCAACAAGATTATACAGAGAGGGGAAGGCACAGTGTTATATGGGGAAAAACATTCAATAACTAAACTTGCTATGAGTCAGTCAGGAGTAACCTCCAAATTCTTATTTAAACATAGGCTTTATTAATTGAAATACAGAATAAAGGATAAACAAGGGGCGGCTCTGCTCTGTACTACACTGATCACCAGTCAAAACCGGGCGGCTAAGGTGTGAAAAGGGCTCAAAATTGTGTCATATGAGAGGAGGTCATTCATTTCTGTATCACTTACTCATTAATAAACCTTTTTTATTCATAAGTATGTACTATCCTGGCCCTTTGTTCATGGAAGTTACATTCAAGAGTGTGTGGGATGGTGGGGACAGACAACTAGTACCAAAAACAATTACGTGTATTACAGATACCATCACACATTGTATGTTCATGCTATTTAATACGTGGTAAGGTAACATATACTTGGGTAGGTTTGCATCAGAAAGGAGTAAGTGCTGTGGAGAAGARTAAAAGATAAGCCAGCCAGCCTGGGAGTTACAGGGCCAGGTGGGGTCAGGTGATTCTTTAGAGAGGGGGCTGGAGAAGCCTCTCCGAGGAGATGATTGCTCGGTGCAGATCCATCAGAAGCAGGGTACCGGGGGGGGGGGGGGGGGGGGGGGGGGGGGGGGNGGGGGGGGGGGGGGGGGGGGGGGGGGGGGGGGGGGGGGGGGGGGGGGGGGGGGGGGGGGAGCAAATGACAGGGGCTGTGCATCCCAGCCATGGGGAGCGGCGAGAGACAGGTGAGGCAGAGTGATGGCACATCTGGGGCCAGGTGAGGAGCTGATGTGGGGAGATGAGGTTAGAAGAGTAGTGGGGTCTAGATCATGAATGGCCCCCTAAGCCACCAAAAGGACTTTGACTTTCACRGTGGATATATGGTTGCATATATTCTCAAACGCACCCACGCACTCAAACATTTATTATGACCTCCTTACAGTCCTTGAGAGATGCATGGTCTCAAGGAAGAGATAAAAAATGTAAGTAAACATAATGACAATGCAATGTGATAATGACTGTGAGTACTAAGTGCTGGAGGTGCCTAGGAAGGCCGGGAGGTAAAACAAGCCGTCCTACCAGGGAAGGTGACACAGAGACCAGTGAGTAGACATCAGTGCTGTCTGTCAAGTATTTCTGGCCCGGCTTTCCAGGCACACAGTAAGACCTCATTTTCCAACTCCTTTTTGGTTAGGTGAGACCATGTCACTAGTTCAGCCAGCCAGTTGTGAAAGGCAGTGACATGGGTCACTTCTGGGCTGATGCATTCAGTGGCTTAGGGGATGTCCTCCAGTTCTTTCTCCATGGTGACTCCGTGTTCAAGATGGTGGCTGCGCTGGGCAGTCTGGGTCCCCAGAGGACTACCGTGAACAGAGTTCTGCTGAGTCACGGTGAATGTGCAGTGTAGGRGAGAAATACTCCTCTGGTTTTTGAAGCATAGATTTTTGGGATTGCTTCCCCTCCTCATCCCCCCACAGCGTAACCCCTTCTATCAGAAGATAAATACTGAAATGGCCCTTCAGGGATTCCTCTTTAGTAGAGACAGAAGTTCATTCCATATGGGAGAAATTGCATTTGCAAAAACTCTGATGTGAGCAAGAACACAAGTATCTGAAGGGCCGTGAAATGTAAGGGACTGGACATTTACACAGCAAAAGGGCCCCGGGAGGTGGTTTCCATCAGCTGGGGAAATGTACATGGGAAGAGATTTTGGTCCACCATAAAGACTATCTTTCCTGGCACTGAGCACTGCTGGTGTCACCATGGGCAGAGAGCTCCTGGTCACTGGACCTGTTCAGGCACAAGCAGAAACACTACTTGGTAAGAATGCTGAAGGGGATTTTCAAGCATCGGAGGAGACTAAATGGAACTAAAATGAATGTTACCGTCTTTTCTTTGCTGATACTTTATAAATTCACAGTCTTGGTGGACTTTTAGGAATCTACCCACTACAAGGTTGTATTGATTTCTAGGGCTGCCATAACAAATCATCACAGACGGGCAGCCCCAAACAACAAAGCTTCATCCTCTCACGGTGCTGGAGGCCTGGAAGTGCACGATCCAGGTGTTGGCAGGTCAGTTCTCTCAGAAGGCTCCGAGGGAGACTATTCCTGCCTCTTTTCTAGTTTCTGAGGATGCCCGGAGCCCTGGGTGATCCTCGCCTGGTGGATGGTGCAGCCTTCTCTCTGTGTTCCGTTTGTTCTCTTTGTATCCTCACACGGCCATCTTCTCAGAAGCTCACTGGCCATACTGCATTAGGGACCCCACCTACTCCAATCCGAAGAGGTCTTAGGAGCCAGGACTTCAACCCAGCTACAGCTCAGGTGCATAATTCAGCCCCAAACAAATACCAATAGTAACTGGAYCAAAATAAGCTGTTCTTTGAGTTGCTTTGCCTCATTCCTTGCAGTAACCCTTTAGTGTAGGGAGGAATGATATTTGGGACTCTGGAT